CATAGGTGATGAGGACGTGAGGAAAACCGAAAAAGAATTTGAGGATCTTGAGCGGTTTATCTAAAAGGAATGTGGAATGGATTTGATGGCCGTTGAGGAAGATTTGTGGGGAACTTTAGTTGGAAATTGAAGAAAAGAAGCTTGAAGGAACTTGAGGGAAATCTGAGGGGAGCAAGAAAATGAGTTTGTGACGCCTAGAAATGACTTTAGAAGTGACTTTGTACCAACCCCTATTTCTTATCAATCACCTCTGGAAAAAGAGGTCAGACTTCTGACGAAGAGAGTTGACTGGAGACGTTATAAAACAGGCTCAAAAAGTTAACATGGATTCGGAGTTTAAAGTCTTCAATCCCAAAAAACCAAATCAAATCAAAGTTATTCTTGATGGGGCCGCAAAAGAACCATGGTTTGGGTCTCAACGACATTCTTCTCTCAGGTTCTGACGTGCGTCCAGGGATTTTGATGAGGTTTAAGGGCTTTCACGGTTCATACCAAAGATATGTTGTACCAGACCCTTAGTCGAGACGCGCAAAGACTCCTCTGGAGGAAAGGCAACGTCCTGATCGTTCCTGCTTTATAGCTTAAAGTGTCATTCCTTTAATGTAATACTTAACCCTTTCTTCGTGTTGGTGGCCCAATTCAAATGTCTCTTTTACGGCCTTAATGGTGTTTTAGGTTCGTCTAGAGTTCTCTATTGTCTTCTAAAACTTTGTTAGGGTTTAAGGGTGTATTCAAAGGCCATCAAAGATCTTAGAACTGTTATTCCTTACATACTTCTAAGAAGTTCCAAGTGTTCTGAACAGAGTTTTCAAGGGACATCAACAGGAGCCTTTTGGAGTCTTCCTGATATTTTAAAAACAAAAGTTTTATTACTCCTTTCCTTACATGTTTTTTTAAAATAAGAGCTTTAAGTGACGATTTTAGGGCGTTCATCGGGGCATTTAAGTAGCTTTGAATACCTTTAAAAGGTGCCACGGATTTTATGGTGTCCAAGAGACACCCCAAGCGTCATTTTGCATGTATTCAGTTTTTAAAATTCGTCTGAACTTTGTTGAAGCAGCTTTACAGTGGTTCTCGTTCTCAAAAGAGATGCTTTGGGAAGTGGTATTTACTTTGTCCATTTTTAAACACTGTTAAAAATTACAGTCTACCGAAGCTTCCTGGCCATCGAACGATCCAAAAGATATTCCAGAAGCTTTTAGGGTCCTTAAGATGCTCTTGATAAAGGGTGTTTTGTAAGTCCTTGGGATCTAAATACCCCCCCCCCCAGTATACGAATATCTGGTAATTTTTTCATACCCCCTCCCCCACCTCCCGTTCCGCATTCCTTCCTTAGAGGATTGAAACCCTTAACACTTACACCATAATGTTTGGTAAAGGTCTTTAGACTTGAACGTTTCGAGGAAGAAAGGGAGAACGCAGTACCGGGGTGTTCTTGGGAGTATGGTATACCCCCCCACCCCCCCCCCCAATATTCGGATTCGGTCTTTTCCAGAGGAGTATTCTCCAGGTCCCCCGGTGCTGCGCTCTTTTTGGTTCGCCTATAAAAGCTTGTGATAATCCACCCTTATGGTTAGGCAACACACCTTTACATCTGAATCAGAAATATGATATGCTCTGGAATAACCAATCGACCGTTCTGCGCAGATGCCGAATACTAGGGGATTTTCCTAACGAAGCTAGGGGAGAAGAAAGAAGATGGCGACGAGGTCGACGGAAAGCATCACGCATTCCCGGTTTTTATTCTTGATTATTTTGGTTGTGGTGTTTTGAAGGTGTGTTTACAGGTAGTAACCATTTTATTCTTTGTTGTTCTAGCTACTAATCATTCAATTTCTTGCCACAATTTGATATTATTTACATTTTGCTGATTTTGCATAAACTGCAATATATATATATAAATATGGCGTACTCCACGCTTTTGTTTTTGAGTACCGTTAGATTATGCCATTATTTTGTTTGATTAAAGTATTTATTTCTGTATTCACGAGGAGTTGATTATCAGTGCGATGTTGCTCTGTTCGATTGAATCGTAACTATTCCGTGAGGGAAGTACCTAATACAATTTGATTGTTCGTTGTATCTGTGGCCTACTCATCTCGTGCGGATCGCAGTTCTTGGCATCTTAGCAATGCGAGATATTTAGGGGGTCCTCTCATTAACGTTTCTTCTATTTAAAATATGTTTTTCGTGAGCGATGATCGACTTCTACATGAATACTTGCGTTCTTACATGTACTTTTCGTGTTAAATAAAATTATGTTGTTGAAGGCTGGAGTAGAGCCACACTATTTTGATGTTTCCTATGTACATGTACATGTATTTTGATGTGTTTTGTACTACATTGATTCATCATGTTTTCTACTGCATTTATAACGTCTCGTGTGTTTTGTTTTTATGAATTTGTTTAATTACATTTGATTCGTTACCTGAGATTTATCATACATTTGAGATGTTTTATTTATGTGTACTTTCTCTTGGATTTCGTTGCTGTAGGTGATTTATTTCATGTATTTGTGTGGCCTATGCCGTGGGTTTTTGTCCCGTAGAAGGTTTCCCTGGTATGGTCTTGTTGTGTGCGTAATATATTTATTTGTTCTTGTTATTTCTTATGCACAAAAGTTCTGTCTTTTATTTAATTCCCTTCCCGATTATGTCTCACGTCCCAACACGTACACGATTACACAACGTAGGAGTTCATCCGTGACACCCATATCGATCCGACTGCCATCTAAATTCAAAAGTGCTGCGAAACGTTGTGTGTAACTACCTTCACACTACAACAACACGGAAATAAATCAACCCAGCAACGTTTAAAAATGGTAACCGGAGTGACTATTCCCTCCAAAACTAAACAAGATCCCGCTTAAATTTGAAATATGGCACGTGCTAAAAGATCTAACGCAGGACCCCTTTAAGTTAGTTGTAAACAACGCTTTGACCTGAAGCACAGTAGGGAAGGAACGCAAAATAAAACTGAAATTGTGAAAAGTTTGTTAATGACTGCAATTATTAAGATTGTGAAAGCTCGGAAATTTAAGTCCAAATAAATTACATTGCAAAAATAAACTTTGAAAATGGTAGTTCACCGAATCACAATAGAAATAGGCTGGGAAAAAAAGAACTTACTTACCAATAAAAAAAACCATCCGTCAAATTAATATAAAATTGTGTTGTAAAATTAATTGTTTGTAATGATGTGAATGCGTAACATAAAATTATAACATCACAAAAAGTAGCATGTAGACTTCAAGGTTAAAAAAAAACAATTATGGGTCAAGTAAGCAGGTACCAAGATTCTAAGAAAGGGTGAAATGCACAGGATGTGACTCATCTTTGGTGCAATAAAGTCCTTTATTTATTACATGGCCTTGTAGGCAAATTTAACTAAAAATAAGATATGTGGAAATTATGGAATCGCCACTCGTTTATCGCACATAGATTCCAAACTGAAGAGCTTTGATTAGCGTAATCCCGCTCCTGCAAGATAGGTAACCCGCTCCTGGTTTCGGGGTTTCGAGCCTACAGTTGAATGTCGAAGACAATCACGGAATTAGGTGTCGTACTTCAAATGGTTACAGTGTTTACCACCCGCGTGACTGCTTCATTCACGGAGAAAATTGTTAGTAACAAACAACAAGTCAGTACATACATCAAACGAATCGGTAATTTCCACATATTAAAATAAAATGATCAAAACTTATATGAATGTTACTTCAGGGACAAGACCAAGTAATCAACATCAATAAACATAAATTAAGCAAGCATTACACCAAAAACGTAAACAATTACAAACAATAGCATAACGGTATCACACATGTGATTCTGCATTGCGGTTAAACCAAGTAAATTTCAAAAACAAAGATTGAAACACAAAAAATATAAAATGCGGCATACAAAACACAAATACGATATAAAGAAATGCAAAAATTACTACCTGCATTAAATAACACAAGATAACAACAAACATTTATGGAGCTACGCGTTCACGATCGCCATTCAAGACAAGATGCCAAACGTAACCCACATTCGTGCTTTCTAGATAGCGCAGCCAGCTTTTCCCCACTTAGAAATTGCATGGTTGCCAACTTTCAAAAATGTGTATCGTCGTAAGTTATATATACAGGGTGGAACCTCTCAACGTCCATCGTTTCGACTTCAAAGGTAGGTAGCTCGGCTTGTAGTTTTTCCCAGTTGCCAACGGTAAGTATAGGGTAAGTCGAGGTTTCCAGTGTCTGCTTTATAGGCCCGTAGGACCATTACAAGCTTTTTCCAAAAATTACGGTGTGTCAGTGACAAGGGCCCCAAACCTTTTAGAAAAGAATGTCTGGGTCTGGAATACGCCCTAGTTACGAATATCTTATAATAATTGCAGGGTAATGAAGACTGATTCGGTCTTTCCCTGGGGGGAGGCCTATTTACAGGTAACTCTTACCAAAAAGATGGTAAAACACGCGGTAGACCATTGGGAGAAGACTAATAGGATTACCTACTGAATGATGTAGGCACCCAGGACTGCGCCAAGCTAAGTCAAAGGTTAAGGAAATTTTATCTTTAAGCAAGGGATAACTATATATAAGCTCTTGCAGGACTCTTTACGGGTCATCTTCCCGCTAACGGTACCATCTACATAAGATACAGTCGAGGATATTAGATGCTGGTTTTACCAGCTGTCAACTGAAACAGCGGGCTGCCATTAGTTTCTTTAATGATCAGAAGCTACTCTAAGTACAAGTAAGAGCGTAACAAGAATCTTTAGTGCTTAAATGACTAGAGATGAGACATAGCCTCAAACCCTCATTCACATACAAGGTCCCAAACACCCTGGATATGTCGTTAATCAAATTTGTCTGGGCTGTGGTCTTGCATAAATCTTTCAAGGTCCAAATAATAAACATGAATCATTCTGTATTTGAAGCATCCTGTACATACATAACCATTATAGAAAGTGGCTCCATCTACAAACACTGATGCGCGTAAATGGCAGTGGCCATAGTTCCGGCCCGGCTTTTTATGTTCGTGGGTGTCCATCTCCAAAATTTAAATTTTTCAGTAATTAGAACCAATTAAAGGCAATTTTAATGATAATTACCTACATGAACGGCTGAAACGCGTCTTACCAGTGGAGAATAATTGCTTACTCGTTTAAAGGTGATCAAAGGGAGTGTCCATGAAAAAGATGTAAAAAATCAATAAAATTTCACTGGACCTTCCATTGAAAGAGGTGATATTTTGCCCTGTAGGTCACACCTTGTTCTCCTTTTGTCAAATCAATACCAGAAACTGACCCATTTTTCCCCCGTAGAGATGGTTCGCGTGATCACCGTTCACAACTTTGTAAACCAACACGTGCAAGTAGTCGAGCAGCCGACCGCCAGCACGGTCGCTCCACCGGACCGTCTACTTCTGGCACTCAACAGTCACTGTGTCGAAGTACGCGACCTGAAATGCGAATCAAACTTACTCTTTACGTTCCCGACGGTCGACCAAGTGAGGCAACTTCTGCACTGTCTTAACGGTAAGTCTACACTCGAGCTACCGCCATCTAAACGTGCCCTTCTAGGCAACTACGTCGCGACGCTCGAGTCGAAAGTAAACAGACAAAACCGCCAGATCAATTATGCACGTGTGTACGTCAACTGGGATAGTATCGCGACGCTGCAGCAGTCGAAGATGACGAGCAGCGGGGCCAGCTTGGACTCGTCCGAGTGCGGCATGGTGCAGCCGATGCGAGCCCGAATCGCGGGTCGCGTTACGCCGACAACGAACCAATCGGAACTGAGCAATCTCGAGATGATCGAGATACCGGCGAAGGGCAATCCGTGTAATGTCGCCTGCTGCCAGATTTCGGGCAATCTCCTGGTGCAGGCCGGTAAAACGCTGTTCGTGTACGGATTTCAGGTGAAGACGCACGATATTTCCAAGCTGAGATTTTTGGACTTCGAAGAGCTACCGCTCCACGTCGAGCTGGCCTTCGTACCGCTGAAGATTACACTCTGCGAGAACTATATCGCTTGCCTGAATCGAAATAATATACATATGTTTAAGGTGATTTGGAAGTTAAGCGCACCAGAGAGGAGCAAGGAGCCAGATAAATGTGATATTAATTTTAAGGGTGAGTGTAAAGTCGTATTTTGGCTGGAAAGAAGTATTACTAAGAAATGGTAAAGGTTCCAGAATAGAACCTTGTGGGACACCAATATTTTCTATTGTGTACCTATTTTGATTGGCTTAATCTGAGGCAATAAAGGACTGGCCTTTTTTTGAAATATGTATTCAAGAAAGTTCTTATATCTATTAAAAAATAAATGTCTGTATAGACAAATACAGAAAAGCAAAACAGTAAAGTCAAAATGTATTTTGAAATGCAGAAATTATTTACTTTGAATAAATTAAATGCAGTTTTTTTAATTGTGAAATTCAAAAAACCATTTTTTGAAACATTCAAAAAAGTAAAAGTAAGGTCAACATGCATTTCTAAATGCAGAAAGTACTTGTCAATAAATTGAATGCTGATATTAAACATTTTTTTTTAAAATTCAAAAAAGATCTTTTTAATCCATAGGAGGGTGTGTACTCAATATACGTGTATGTAGAAAAACGAAAAAAAGTGAAAATGCATTTCTAAATGCTAAGAGTAGTTGAATAAATGAAATGCTGTTTTTTTTTAAATTGTGAAATTCAAAAAACCATTTTCTGAAACATTCAAAAAAGTAAAAGTGAGCCCAAAATGCATTTCTAAATGCACAAAGTATTTGTCGTTAATAAATTGAATGCTAATATTAAAAATTTTTTTTTTTTGAAATTCAAAAAAGACCCAAAGGAGGGTGTGTTCTCAATATACGTGTATGTAGAAAAACGAAAAAAGGGAAAATGCATTTATAAATGCTAAGAGTAGTTGAATAAATGAAATGCTGTTTCTTATTATTGTGAAATTCAAAAAACCATTAACTGAAACATTCAAAAAAGTTAAAGTGAGCCCAAAATGCATTTCTAAATGCACAAAGTACTTGTCAATCAATTTAATGCTGCTATTATTAAACATTTTTTTTGTTTATTAAAAAAAGATCTTTTTAATCCAAAGGAGGGTATGTTCTCAATATACGTGTATGTAGAAAAGCGAAAAAAAAGTGAAAATGCATTTCTAAATGCTAAGAGTAGTTGAATAAATGAAATTCTGGTTCTTTAAATTGTGAAATTCAAAAAACCATTTTCTGAAACATTTAAAAAAGAAAAAGTGAGCCCAAAATGCATTTCTAAATGCACAAAGTACTTGTCAATCAATTTAATGCTGCTATTATTAAACATTTTTTTTGTTTATTAAAAAAAGATCTTTTTAATCCAAAGGAGGGTATGTTCTCAATATACGTGTATGTAGAAAAGCGAAAAAAAAGTGAAAATGCATTTCTAAATGCTAAGAGTAGTTGAATAAATGAAATTCTGGTTCTTTAAATTGTGAAATTCAAAAAACCATTTTCTGAAACATTTAAAAAAGAAAAAGTGAGCCCAAAATGCATTTCTAAATGCACAAAGTACTTGTCAATCAATTTAATGCTGCTATTATTAAACATTTTTTTTGTTTATTAAAAAAAGATCTTTTTAATCCAAAGGAGGGTATGTTCTCAATATACGTGTATGTAGAAAAGCGAAAAAAAAGTGAAAATGCATTTCTAAATGCTAAGAGTAGTTGAATAAATGAAATGCTGGTTCTTTAAATTGTGAAATTCAAAAAACCATTTTCTGAAACATTTAAAAAAGAAAAAGTGCGCCCAAAATGCATTTCTAAAGTACTTGTAGTTAATAAATTGAATGCTAATATTATTAAACATTTTTTTAATTCAAAAAAGATCTTTTTAATCCAAAGGAGTGTATCTTCTCAATATACGTGTATGTAGACAAACGAAAAAAAGGAAAATGCATTTAAAGAGTAGTTGAATAAATGAACTGCTGTATTTTTAAAATTGTGAAATTCAAAAAACAATTTTCTGAAACATTCAAAAAAGTAAAAGTGAGCCCAAAATGCATTTCTAAATGCAGAACCTACTTGTCGTCAATAAATTGAATGCTGATATTATTAAACATTTTATTTTCAAATTCAAAAAAGATCTTTTTAATCCAAAGGAGGGTGTGTTCTCAATATACGTGTATGTAGAAAAACGAAAAAAAGTGAAAATGCATTTCTAAATGCTAAGAGTAGTTGAATAAATGAAATTCTGTTTTTTTTTAAATTGTGAAATTCAAAAAACCATTTTCTGAAACATTAAAAAAAGTAAAAGTGAGCCCAAAATGCATTTCTAAATGCAGAAAGTACTTGTCGTCAATAAATTGAATACTGATATTAAACATTTTTTTTTATTAAAAAAAGATCTTTTTAATCCAAAGGAGGGTATGTTCTCAATATACGTGTTTGTAGACAAACGAAAAAAAAAGTGAAAATGCATTTTTTTTAATTGTGAAAATTGTCAAAAAAGTAAAATTAAAGTCAAAATGCATTTCTAAATGCAGAAAGTATTTGTCGTCACCAAATTGAATGCAGATTTATTAAACACGTCGTGAAATTCAAAAAAGTTAAAGTATGTCAAAATGCAGAATTACATTTGTGAAATTTAAAAAATGTATTTAAAGAGGTTTTTCGATACATTCGCGATTTCTCGAGAGTTTACTTGTAATGAGCTTTAAATGGTTGAAAGATAAAAATTTACGCAAACATAAAAAAATACAGAGAGGTTAAATTTTACTTAAAAAAGACTAGTTAAATTTTATGGAAAATTCAAGAAATATTTTTTTTATTTAAGCACCCTTTTTTAATATTTTCGTACAGACCAACAAAAAAATGTGAAAACGATGGTCACGTGCGCTTGCGGGATTTTTTAATTTAGTTTTTTTATGCGCTTTAAACGGTTAGAACTCGAAAAATGAAAAACACTTTACTACTTCAATTTATAGAAAACTTAAGTATACTTGTTTTGTTTAAACATTTTTTTATATTTTCGTTTTTTTTGTATTTAAACATGTCACCTCAAATATCAGCAAGCTTGTAAGTAAATACGAAAAACTTAGCGTTGGTCACCCTCAAATGTACGCAGGGTAGGGTGCGAATGCCGAAAGTAAGTTGCGAAAACAACCAAAATTTTCCTCATTGATTTTTAAAGTTTGAAACTTGATTTTTTTTATTTTTTTTTCATTTATCTATACCTCTCTTAATTTGTATTACCTCTCTTAATTTGTATTCATGTGTGCACTTTTTTAATGGTTTTCTAATTATTTTTTTGTGAATGTAAACTTTTTTGATATTTTCATATAGACGATGGTGACGGTTATTTTCGATATTTTTTAAATTTAGTTTACAATTTGATTTAAACGTTGGTGGTAGAGAAAGAAGTTAATTAAAAATAATGTTTTGTTCACTTTAATTTAAAAATAGTTATTTATATAACAAGAGCGCGAAGTTCAATTTCGCGCATTGAGACTGAAGGTATTTTGACGAGGCGAAGCCGAGTTAAAATATCAGTCAAATGCGCGAAATAACTTCGCGCTAGCGTTATATACAATATTTTTTCTACAACTGAACCGATTGTTAATTAAATTTGCTGTTTAAGTTCAACTTTGTCACGTGCGCGAAATACTTTTTTTCACTGTTGACGATTTCGCGCACGTTGTCAAGAGCAACCTTACTTATTAATTAACCGTTTAAAAATCTAGTACTTCGCGTTTCGAAATCCGTCAGAAAATGACAGGTTTTTATGACAGTTGTAGAAAAATGTTTTTTTTTAATTTAAAAAGGTTGTGTTAGTTTCTTTATTTTGATATTTTCGTACCGACCAACAAAAAATGAGTACTGTGGTTACGGTTCCTTATGACATTTTTTGAATTAAAAATTGTTACATTTTGCAAATTTCTAATTTGTCGTTTTTATATTTTCGTACAGACCAACAAATAAAGGTGAAAACCATGAATACGGTTCTTTTCAAGATGTTAGATCATTATTCTGATTGGGCTTCCCATTTTAGTTCCCGATTCTATCCCAGATTCTGCTCTAATCCCTATTCTGATTCTGATCTGATCAGATTCCAATTCCTGTTATAGTTCAAAATCCGGTTCAAGTTACAATCCAGGGTAGGATTTAGACTTCCCGATCCGGTCTCAAAATCTCGAATTCTTAAGATTTCAAAACTAACAAAAACTAAAATTTCCGCTTTTTGAATAATCCCAATACCTCTAAACATACTCTAACATTCAAACAATTTCAAAAACCCCAAAATTGACAAAATTTCAAATATTCTAAAATCTCAAATTTCCAGTTTCAGAAAGTCCAAATTCTCTAATCCGAAAAATTTATATTTTCAAAAATTCAAATTTCTAAAACCTTAAGAATCTAAAATTACCCAGATTTCAAATATCCAAAATTTCGATTTCCTGCAATTTTAAAGTTTTTTAACATTATAAGTTTCAAATTCTTAAAATTTCAAAATTATCAAAATCCAGAATTCCCAAAATTTTAATAATGCCAAATTGATAGTTAAATGTGAAAACCATTGTTATGGACCCTTTCGAAGTTTTTTGAATTTAGGTCGCGATTTAAACGGTTTGAGGTTGAAAAGAAAGGTAATGATTTACGAGGAAATTTAAAAAAAGCTGCTACTGAAATTTTTGGAATTTTCAAAAAAAAAATTTTTTATTTAAACAAACTTTTTTGCTACTTTCGTAGAGAGCAACAAATAAATGTGAAAACGATTGCTATGGTTCCTTTTGACATTTTTTGAATTTAGCTTATTTATTTATTAAACGTTTTGAGGTTTGAAAAAGAAAGAAAACTGCTATTTTTTAAATTTTCAAAAACATTTTTAAACACGCTTTTTTGATATTTTCGTACAGATCAACATAAAAAGTGATGCATAGGAAAAATTTTTTAATTCGAAATTGCGCAAGCGTCTAACTTTTGAAAAATTAAAAAAAACTTTTTTGATTTCAGTACCAAAAGATAATGTTACAATAGATTATAAGGAATTATTAAGGCGCGAGCGAATAAATAAAAAAGAGGAGAAGATTACCGTTAATTTACCGAGCATCGTTAAAAGTAACAGTCTAATTCACAAGCACAGTCCCTTTACCTTTATCGATAAGGAAATGAACGCACTTGTCAAACTGAACCACCCCCTGGAGGTGAGTGAGCACTGCCGCAATTTTGCGAAACTCCCGCCTTTTTTTTAGGATAAAACGCATAAATACGAGTTGGTACACCTGATACAGCTACGACTGAAGCCGATCATTATCGAAAACACGCGATCGCAGGTGGTGGAGGAATTCAAGTGTTTGGTTTTGCATCCGCTGTACTGCGAGGGGAGCAAGTGTGCGGACGGTGGCGTTCCGCGCGTTCTCAGGAGCGGGTTCAGGGGCTGCTTGAAGGAGGTGGTTTGCGTGATTACGACCTTGCAGGAGGGTTACCTGTTTCAGTTCTGCGATGCCGAGTCGGATACGAACTTGGACAATTGCATTTCGGTGTACCCGTTCATGGGGCCCGTCTACAGCGTTGCCTTAGAAGGGCACCTGCTGCACGCGCTCACCGAGACGGGTCTGGAGACGTACACGGTTCGGGTCGGTCATCAACTGTGCAGGTCTGTGGAGGAGACGGACTCGATTAGTAATGTAGGTGGGTCGAGTCGTGACTGGCTTGGTTTATGCTGTCGGTTTAGGTTTGTCCTCCCAAAGAGCAGTTGCTGTGTCTGATCGGGCATCGGCAGTTCATCGGGATCGAGCAAATGCTCATCACCGACAACTACCTGGTGCTACTGGCAAACGGCGATAATTCGCCGACTCACTCAATCGGCTCGAACAGCAGCTCTAATACGTCGACGTGGACGCTGTACGCGTTGGAGCTGCCGACACCGAAGATGATCTTCACCGATATCGCGATTGCGGCGAACGCACACAGATTCTCCGCGCCGCAGACCTACTGCCATCTGATGAGCGAAGCGCACATGATTCTACGATTAACTCTGCACGTGCTGAAATGGGCGATTCGCGAGGGGAACGTCTGCTCTCTAATACCCGTGAAAAGCAACACCGAGGAGCTTCTCGACGCCTACCACACCTCCTGCTGTTTACTCGGCGATCACTTCGTTATGTAAGTAGACTAATCGGCGATCGCCGCGGTTTGACTCGAGCGCCTTAGAAACGAGTGCAACTACCAGCTGTGCTTGCCGTACTACAAAATGGCCGGAATAGTCCCGCACGAGGTCCTCAAACGGTTCAGGCGAGTCCAGGAGGAGTCGAACGCGGAGGAGATGCGAGGCATCATTTACTATCTTAAGCTGGTGCTGAGAGAGCCCCGACTGAAAGCTCCCGATAATCTCTCGGAGACCGCCTGGAAGCAGTCGTTCATCGAGGACGTGCTGCAGATCTTCCACAAGCAGGCGTACCTCGACTTGAGCTACCTGATCATAAAAAACGGAATTCTTCGCGAGTACTGCACGCACAAGCTTATCGGCGTCTTGCGAGACCAGTCCTTTGAGTAAGTAACTCGAGCTCGCGCCGCTGTAGTTCACTCTGTGATTTTAGCGACCCCTACCGGGAGACCGAGCGCTTACTCGCCTTGGGTCTCTTGCACATGCAAGAGTACAACCTAGACAAAGCGAAAGTGGTGCTGAGCCAAATTATTGGCGGTGATATCCTGCTGGCGTTACTAGAAGAGAATTGGCACCTACTGTTTGAAAGACTCTCGAAACACAAGCGTTCGTTCGTCTTCTCGGAGTTCGCCGTAATCCTAATGATAACCCATTGTGATATTCTAAGCAATACCTTTAACTTTTTGATTAAGAACGAGAAGGTGACGCTGCACGACACGCTGCTGGTGACCGAACGGCGATGAGTTTGCGCGAGTCTCACCTTGTGTTTCAGATGTTCATGGAGTACTTGCAATTGAATATGGGCTCGGAAGGTCTCGCCGCCGCCAAGGTCATGCGAACCATGCTCGAGGACTATTTCAAGTTTTACTTCTCGCACTACGAGTCCAACAATATCGGGCAGTTTTCGTCGATCGCCCCCAGCTCGTTACAGTTGGCGATGACCGTGTTGGTACGGTCGTATTTGTCGCAATTGCAGGTTTTCCAGCTGAAGGAGGCGAACAATCCGCAAATCCAGGAAAAGATGTAAGTAAAAGGATTGCGAAAAATTTCCCGTTGGTCATCCTGATGTTTACGTTCGGTAGGAAGCGCATGCTGAATGTGGAAATAAAGTTAACACGAAAAATTTCGTGTTGGTCATCCTCAAATGTACAGGGTGGCCAACTAAGGATGCGGTAAAAAAATTTATGACTAAAACGGCCACGAAGAAAACCGGGAAAATATTTTCAAGTTTCTGAAATGACCGCTAGAGGGCGTAACTGTAATCTGGAATCTAAAAAAGTGATGTTTCTGTGAATTCCGCTGTATTAATCTAACAAAAAAATTTCCGGTCTTTGAAGTTGACAATAATCTGAACAATTTTTGTTTGACAATTTTTCCTGTATCTCTAAAAATGAAGTGGTGGGGGGTATTCAAAGCTTTCCGTAAAGAACACCCTGTATCTTCGAAACGGCTGAGCCGATTTAAACAAACTCGGGTTAGTTAAAAAGAGCTATTCTTCAGCTACAAATATTATACTATTTGAAGTTTTGTTAGTTTCACATATCACCGCTTGAGGGCTTTTTTCGACATTCCGACAGAAATGGTTAATTTTCTCAAAATTAAATGCATTGGTTTTTTTTCATGAAAAAGTAGCTAAATGATGCCTAAGCAAGAAAAATTACTTTTTTAGATTCCAGATTGCAGTTACGCCCTCTAGCGGCCATTTCAGAAACTTAAAAATATTTGAGCGTATAAGATTTTCTTTGGTCTAAATTTTAGGTTAGGAACAAGATATCGAGATGCGGTTTTCGCGAGCTTGTTTAGGCATCATTTAGATACTTTTTCATGAAAAAAATCCAACCAACGCATTTAATTTTTTTGAGAAAATTAACCATTTCTGTTGGAATGTCGAAAAAGGCCCTCAAACGGCGATATGTGAAACTAACAAAACTTCAAATAGTATATTTGTAGCCGAAGAATAGCTCTTTTGAACTAACCCGAGTTTGTTAAAATCGGCTCAGTCGTTTCGAAGATACAGGGTGTTCTTTACGGAAACCTTTGAATACCCCCCCCCCCCACCACTTCATTTTTAGGGATACAGGAAAAATTGTCAAACAAAAAAGGTTCAGATTATCGTTGTCTTCAAAGACCGAACATTTTTTTGTTAGGTTAATATAGCGGAATTCACAGAAAAATTACTTTTTTAGATTCCAGATTGCAGTTACGCCCTCTAGCGGCCATTTCAGAAACTTAAAAATATTTTCCAGGTTTTTCTCGTGGTCGTTTTAGTAATAACTTTTTTTACCGCAAGCCTCTTTACGGAAACCTTTGAATCCCCCCCCCCCCACCACTTCATTTTTAGGGATACAGGAAAAATTGTCAAACAAAAAAGGTTCAGATTATCGTTGTCTTCAAAGACCGAACATTTTTTTGTTAGGTTAATATAGCGGAATTCACAGAAAAATTACTTTTTTAGATTCCAGATTGCAGTTACGCCCTCTAGCGGCCATTTCAGAAACTTAAAAATATTTTCCAGGTTTTTCTCGTGGTCGTTTTAGTAATAACTTTTTTTACCGCAAGCCTCTACGATGGACAGGTTCCCAAGTACAGTACCTCGCATTCTTATTTGGCCACCCTGTACATTGGGTAGGATGCGAATTTTGAATTTAGGAACGAGATTGCCTAAAGGTACTCCAGTTTATCAACACTAAATCCATAAGCGTTTGAATTCTGCATTTTTTATATCTACTTTTCAGATTTAAACCATCTAATTCTTCCGCGAGGAATGAAGTAGTAGAACCCATTTCAGTTTCAAAGGGAAAGCAGAATTTGATTGTTGCTAAATTTTTGGAATTTTTTTATGAATTTTGTGAATTTTTTTGTTTTTCAGATTGTTATAAACAATTGTGTTTTGGGGAAGTTCAAGGATATCAAAATATAATATACAAAACGACAATGGGAAGACATGCTTTGAATTTTTTTAATGTTTCGAGTGGAAATAAAAACAATTTTAATTTTTAGTAATATTATGATCCATTCTGACACCAATTAATTTTATGAGATTGTAATTTGTTGATTTAAAAAATGTATCCATTTTTCGTGGAAAACGAGGTGGATATCATCCGCAGAGAGAAAACAGAATTAGTATCAAGTGATCTACAATCGTGTACCTGTTTTTTTTAATAATCTGAAATTAACAAATTTTTTATTATTTTTTTTTCACGAGCGAGGATGATCGATTTTGTCCTACAAAATTCGAAGGGCCAGCAAATTTTAATTTTTCTACAGGCCACATTCAATAAGGTCTAATTTTTCCGAATTTTTTTTCCGGTAACTTGCTGAATTTGTATCCATCATGTGTGCACTCTTTTTTATAGTTGCTTTCCATCCCTGTAAACAACTCTCAAAAAAAAAATCGACTACACCAAAATTTCTCGGGAAAACACTTTCGGGCCTCAAAGAAAGGCAGTGTATAACCTTCCTTTTTTGCCAAAAATCTACTACACCAAAATTTCTCGGGAAAACACTTCTAAATTTTTTTAATCCATGTTAAACAGGTTTTTTACTTTTTTTTATCTCATCTTAAAAAATTCAAAGGGAAAACAATGTTAAATTTTTTTAATTATTGGATTTTTGCGACCCTTATTTAGCGTATTTTTTTAAAATCTGTTGGACTTTTCAATTAAAAAAATGATTTCTTACAGGAAGAACGAAAAGATTTCTCTTATCTTACAAACACTCGACAGAAAAAGCATAGTTAGAATTTTTTAATTTTTTTAGATTTTTTCCTAGTTTTTGGGATTGAGGGTTTTTAAATATTCGAGTCGCAATAAAAACAATTCTCAGTAAGATAAATAAATTTATTTCTTATTCCGAATTTTTTGATTTTTCGAATTTTTCATTTCATACTGTATGGGAACGAGATGGACGGAAAACAGAAATTACATTTTTTCTGAAATTTTTGAATTGGATTTTCATAAATTTTTTGGTATTCTATTTTTTTATTTTTGGAATATTTCGGATTTTTTCTGATTGTCTAAGTTTCAGGGATTAGTAGATTCTGGCTCGAAATATCAACTTTGAATTTTTCTAGGAGTGTGAAAATCCGCGCTTACCCTACAAAATGTTATAGGGCCGGCAAATTTGAATATTTTTGAATTTTTTAACTTTTGCAAATTACCCGAATTTTCGTAGTTAATTTTTTCGAATACATTTTGGTTTGTGATTTTTACTCATTTTTACAGTGCTTCTCGCCTGTGTAACAACTTTACATTTGTTGTTGAATTTTTTTAATCCTTATTAAATAGGTTTTTTTTTGCTTTTTTGGATTAAAAAGTGTAGTATTTTCGTGTGGAAATGAGGTAATCCATCTGATCTTTGGAAAATTCGAAAAGAAAATGAAATTTCAATTTTGCAAAATTTTGAATTAATTTTTTTAATTTTTTTTTAATTGTTTTTTCGGAGATCGCTCTTACAAAAACTCGATGAGAATTTTTCTAAATGTTTTTCATTTTTCGTACTTTGTAAATTTGCTAAATATTTACGAATCGAAATAAAAATAAATTTTCAATTTTTTTTTAATGTTTCAGGATTTTGTAATTATTTTATTTTTCAATATTTTTCATATTCTGTATTTTATAGTTTCTCACTATAGAAAAATACATTAAATTTTGGTGTACCAATACTAGATTTTTTAAATAGTGCAAGTTTTATAACTTCTCTGAAGTTTATTATTTGAATTAAAAAAACTATCTTTGGATTTTTGCATTTTCTAGATTTGTTAAATAATCCAAAATTTAATTTTTTCATTAATTTGTTGAATTTTTCCTGAAGAGTGAAAATCTACAGAAATTCGAAGATACTTTGCTCAAATTTAATATTTGAATTTTTTAAATTTTCGAATTTTCTTTTAATTTTTTTATTTATTTATTTTTTATTTTCCTTGAACTTTCTAAGAACTTTAAGAAATCTAAGTATTTTTTGAATGTTTTAGTCGACTTGAAAACAACTTTGAATACCGATTTAAGATTATGAATTCTTTTTTTTTGTGGAATATTTTTTAAATATCACTGTACATTTTTGCCCGAATTTTTCTTAGATTCTGAATTCGTAGTTCAATAAAAAATTAAAAAAACTGAAAGTCGTTTTTAAATTTTTGAATCTTTTTATTTGTCCATTTCTGAATTTGTATCTTTACGGGCACTCTTTTGTATTAATGCGTTCCGTGGTAAACAACTTTAAATATGTAGCAGATTTTTAATTTTTTATTTAAAGAAAATTGTTTTCGTAGGAAATGAGGTAATATCGAAGAGAAAACCAAAAAAATCGAATTTTGTTAAATTTTTTGAATTATTAATGTTTTTGGTTCTTTATAAATTTTCGTGACTTCGCACTTTCGAATTTAGTAGACTTTTTCCTTTGGAATTTTCATGAATCCTTTATATTTTTTAGATAGACATAAAAAACTCGGAGAAAATACGTAGAATTTTTCTAAATGGTTTTAGATTTTTTTGCGTCTTTTTTCCTTCTTTTTAAGTTTGCGGAATTTATATTTAAATGTTCCGAGTATCGAGTTAATTGCTCAAAATTTAAAAACAGACGGAAAACACGCAAGATGAGAATTAAAAATTCATAAAAATTTAAAAATAAAAATTTGCTCAAATTGGAAGCATCACCAATTGTACACAAAGATTTCAAGTTGTTTTCCAAGAATTCATAATATTACTAAAAAAACAAAATCGTCCTTTGACTCGAACCATTTAAAGAACATTTCCCCAACAGGATAATTCAAATGCACCATTTCATAAAAATTCCAAGAATTAAAGAAGTTCGAGTTCCCTTCCAGTTTTTCTAAGATCAGATTACAAACGTTTTTTAAAAACACGAAAAATAAAAATAAAAATTTAGAAATATTTAAATAAATGTAAAATTCAAATAAATTCGGAGTAGTAAAGAAATGTGTGCACAAAAATAGAGTGGAAAATATCAAAAAAAAAAAATCAAAAACGCCAGGAAAAATCAGAAACATTCAGAACAACAATTTGAAAAAGAAAGAATTCGTTGTCTGACTTAAAAAAATCGGAATTCAAATCAAAATTTTAGGAAAATTCAAATTTGCTGGCCGTTTGAATTTTTGTTCGGCAAGATCGATCTCCTCGGTCTCCAGGAAAACTCAAAAATGAGAAATACGTTACATTTGGATTGTTTAAAAAAAATGGATAATTCTCGAGTGAGAATTCAGAATTTAAAAATTCAAAATATTAAAAAAATTAGAAAATAGGTCCGCAAAAATCCGGAGGAAATTAAAAATCCATTAAAACCAAAAAAATTCAGACGAAAATAAGTTCTTTTTTTCTTCCGTACTTATCCACCACGTTCTTTACGAAAAAATCGTACATTTTTTAAATGCAAAAAATAAAAAAGATAAAATTCAGAGTAACATTATATAATTTGAAATTAAAAAAATTAAGTGTAGGTAGCAAACAACTATAGAACAATTTTTTTTATTTATAAATAAATAAATAAAAAATTAAGACAAAAACCATAGATTAAATAAAATTCAAAAAATTAATAAATTTATAAAAACGACAAGAATCTTGGATGTTTATAAATTTTTAATTCTCTCCTGATTTTTGCATATCTTAGTTTGATTTTTTCTTGGATACACTTTTATAATTGATTTTTTCAATTTCTTGTCTGAGTCGAAATGAAATTTGCATTTTGGATTAATATTATGAAGTCGGGAGGTTTGTGCATTTTTTAATTTGTTTAACCCTTTGTTTTTTTTTCTGATTTCTCCTACTTAAGAAAAGCAACTTTGCATTTTGGTGTTTTTATAGTTCGGAGTTTATTTGAATTGAACTTGGGTTCTTGTTATTTGCTGAATTTTGTGCGCACATTAGTTGAATTTTTTATTTTAACTGAATTTCATGATTGTAATTATGAAAAGTTTCTCGTCGGTCACTCGCCGTATACGTCGGGCGGGCGGGCATTAGCAATTCCCCAAGAGGACGCGGATCCACTACCATATAGATCTGTGATTCCCGATAATTCAGCTTTCGCATTTTTTACTCATTTCTGTTAAAATGAAGCTAAAAATAACCTTGATTCGATAGATGCGCGAATGATACCGACGAGGAGAAGAAAGCAGACGAATCGCCCTTATTTCCGAACGGCGTTCCCAAGCGAAACGCCAAGAGTTACCTATTCGCCGGCCAGCGCTACGAGTATTTGGACAAGATGCCCCCGTTCCAAATCGAGATAACGTCCAAGCTGTACGAGAAGTGCGTCGAAAATTACGTCGCCGTTGACACGTTCGCGCCGAACGAGGAGGCAGACCTCATCTTGCAAAAGCTTCAGGCGCTGTTGTGTAGCGGAGTGCTGCCGGAGGAGGCGATCGTGGAAGCGAAAACCTTCCTCTCGGTGAACAACACCTTGAGGGGTTACACGAGCTTGATGTCAATTTTGATTAACAAGAACGACGTTGTCAATTACCTACTGAACTCATGCCCGCAGTGCTTGTTGCAGTACGGAAAAGTAAGTGCTAGTCGCGCGACTGCAGTAGTATAAGCCAGTTTTTAGGATTGCTTCACGAACGACGAGGATTGGCAGACGCTGGTGACGAGTACTCAAACGAAAATAATTCACTTGTCTGTCGACGAAGATCTAAACCGCATATGCTTTTACTACAAGAAGATCCTTAAAGGTACTTTGAATTAATCCTCCACTTAACCTGTGATTGCATTTCAGATGTTTTGACACATTTGGCAACGACGCTATCCGTAGAAGACTTCCAAAAGGTGCTTCCACATCGCCGGATCGATAATGAAGATCACGAGGAGAACATTAGGGATGAAATATACAGCTACGACACGTACCTAACAATCTGCAAGGAAACGACGCAGGCCAATCAAATCAAAAAATTGATAACCACGACGGGACACCAACTACTACGCACTCTAAACTTGTAAAAAAGCAGACGGACAAACTTTGGGCCAATTTCATGCAGTACCGAAAAGACTGACCAACATTTTACTTTAATCCCAATATTCCAAAATTTCAACTTATACCTTTCAATTTTTAGCACTTTTAGCCGTGGAATCGTCTGTGCGTCTCACAAAAAAAGAACGTTCCTTTATATGTAATCGAAATTATTTTCGTCGATGTTTTTAACAAATAAATTTTATTACTGTTACTTTTCAGATTTAAATTTGTTTATATACCTGTTGATATGTGTAACTGTCGATGTTTTTAATAAATTTCTGATAGCACATGTCGATCCGTTTACTACTTCCTATCTGTGCTCCTGATGCTATTTTGTTCTCTGGAAACGAAACTCCTGATGCGAAAATTCTTGCAATTGTATGCCCTCTATTTAAGTTTATAAATACAGTTTACTAGTGTTTTCCTGTGCTCCTAATACAATCGGGGTTTGATAGTAAATAAAATTAATAAAATATGTGCTCCTTTTTTGAGAATCCTTCGATAAGTATCATTGGAACATAAAACGTAACTGTCAATGTTTTTAATAAATTTCTGATAGCACATGTCGATCCGTTTACAACTTCCTATGCTCCTGATGCTATTTTGTAATTGGGAAACGGAACTCCTGATGAGAAGATTCTTGCAATTGTATGCCCTCTATTTAAGTTAAAGTTATAAATAAAGTTTACTAGTGTTTTCCTGTGCTCCTTTTTTGATGAATCCTTCGATAAGTATCATTGGAACATAAAACGTAACTGTCGACGTTTTTAATAAATTTCTGATAGCACATGTCGATCCGTTTACAACTTCCCATTGGTGCTCCTGATGCGATTTTGTTTTTGGGAAACGGAACTCCTGATGAGAAGATTCTGGCAATTGTATGCCCTCTATTTAAGTTTATAAATAAAGTTTACTAGTGTTTTCCTGTGCTCCTAATACACAATCGGGGTTTGATAGTAAATAAAATGAATCAAATATGTGCTCCTTTTTTTATGAATCCTTCGATAAGTATCATTGGAACATAAAACGTAACTGTCGATGTTTTTAATAAATTTCTGATAGCACATGTCGATCCGTTTACAACTTCCTATCTGTGCTCCTGATGCTATTTTGTTATTGGGAAACGAAACTCCTGATGCGAAGATTCTTGCAATTGTATGCCCTCTATTTAAGTTTATAAATACAGTTTACTAGTGTTTTCCTGTGCTCCTAATACAATCGGGGTTTGATAGTAAATAAAATTAATAAAATATGTGCTCCTTTTTTTATGAATCCTTCGATAAGTATCATTGGAACATAAAACGTAACTGTCGATGTTTTTAATAAATTTCTGATAGCACATGTCGATTCGTTTACAACTTCCTATCCGTGCTCCTGATGCGATTTTGTTATTGGGAAACGGAACTCCTGATGAGAATATTCTTGCAATTGTATGCCCTCTATTTAAGTTTATAAATAAAGTTTACTAGTGTTTTCCTGTGCTCCTAATACAATCGGGGTTTGATAGTGAATAAAATTAATAAAATATGTGCTCCTTTTTTGAGAATCCTTCGATAAGTATCATTGGAACATAAAACGTAACTGTCGATGTTTTTAATAAATTTCTGATAGCACATGTCGATCTGTTTACAACTTCCTATCTGTGCTCCTGATGCTATTTTGTTATTGGGAAACGGAACTCCTGATGCGAAGATTCTTGCAATTGTATGCCCTCTATTTAAGTTTATAAATACAGTTTACTAGTGTTTTCCTGTGCTCCTAATACAATCGGGGTTTGATAGTAAATAAAATTAATAAAATATGTGCTCCTTTTTTTATGAATCCTTCGATAAGTATCATTGGAACATAAAACGTAACTGTCGATGATTTTAATAAATTTCTGATAACACATGTCGATCCGTTTACAACTTCCTATCTGTGCTCCTGATGCTATTTTGTTATTGGGAAACGAAACTCCTGATGCGAAGCTTCTTGCAATTGTATGCCCTCTATTTAAGTTTATAAATAAAGTTTAGTATAGTGTTTACCTGTGCTCCTAATACAATCGGGGTTTGATAGTGAATAAAATAAATAAAATATGTGCTCCTTTTTTGAGAATCCTTCGAACATAAAACGTAACTGTCGATGTTTTTAATAAATGTCTGATAGCACATGTCGATCTGTTTACAACTTCCTATCTGTGCTCCTGATGCTATTTTGTTATTGGGAAACGAAACTCCTGATGCGAAGATTCTTGCAATTGTATGCCCTCTATTTAAGTTTATAAATACAGTTTACTAGTGTTTTCCTGTGCTCCTAATACAATCGGGGTTTGATAGTGAATAAAATTAATAAAATATGTGCTCCTTTTTTTATGAATCCTTCGATAAGTATCATTGGAACATAAAACGTAACTGTCGATGTTTTTAATAAATTTCTGATAGCACATGTCGATCCGTTTACTACTTCCTATCTGTGCTCCTGATGCTATTTTGTTATTGGGAAACGAAACTCCTGATGCGAAGATTCTTGCAATTGTATGCCCTCTATTTAAGTTTATAAATAAAGTTTACTAGTGTTTTCCTGTGCTCCTAATACAATCGGGGTTTGATAGTAAATAAAATTAATAAAATATGTGCTCCTTTTTTTATGAATCCTTCGATAAGTATCATTGGAACATAAAACGTAACTGTCGATGATTTTAATAAATTTCTGATAACACATGTCGATCCGTTTACAACTTCCTATCTGTGCTCCTGATGCTATTTTGTTATTGGGAAATGAAACTCCTGATGCGAAGCTTCTTGCAATTGTATGCCCTCTATTTAAGTTTATAAATAAAGTTTAGTATAGTGTTTACCTGTGCTCCTAATACAATCGGGGTTTGATAGTGAATAAAATAAATAAAATGTGCTCCTTTTTTGAGAATCCTTCGATAAGTATCATTGGAACATAAAACGTAACTGTCGATGTTTTAAATAAATTTCTGATAGCACATGTCGATCCGTTTACAACTTCCTATCTGTGCTCCTGATGCTATTTTGTTATTGGGAAACGGAACTCCTGATGCGAAGATTCTTGCAATTGTATGCCCTGATGCTCACAGTTTCTTGTCTGTGCTCCTTATACAATTATCTTTAATAAGGAGTCTTGACCCCATAAATATAATCTACGCTTTTGTGCTCCCGGTACAATCATTTTCGCATTTATAGTAGAAATCAAACTCTTGAGATATTATAGAAAAGAGGCATTCCGCTATATTCTTGATATGATATTCAATGTAGAAGTATCAGGGAAATGATTTCGTATGTAATAGAAAATATATATCTATATATATGTGGGGTGGAAGGACAGTCTCTGTCTTAAGCTATTAGGTACGCATTTTGTAATTAATGCCAGATGTGCTCTCTATTGGAGGAAGCATCGACAAGAGAATTTCGATAACTCTGACTTGGTACATGCCAGCTGATAATAGCAAGCGGATCAAGTATTATGGCATTCTGCTATGTGCCATATGGTACAAGGCGCCACCTGAAAGGACTTGGGCTAAAGTTAAGAGGTTACAATAAAAATCACTGTAGTGACCGAGCTAGATAAGGCCCCATTGTAAATGGCTAGAGTTTGCTTCATGCACATCAAAACTACCAACCTGAATTTACAATTAGACAAACAGATTGCATGCCACGAAAAAATTTAAAACAAAAATATATCTGTCACTTTATTAAAAAGAATAACTCCAGTTTAATCGTTATCTTCCTCATCTTCGTCATCTTGACTGTTGATCTGGAAGTAACGTAGTTCGTAATTGTCTTTGCCGGACGCGATCACACGTAACCAATCACGAAGATTATTCTTCTTCAAATACTTCTTGGTAAGGTACTTCAGATACCTTTTCGAGAATGGAACATCTGCGCTCAATACGATCTTCGTATTCTTCTCCCTGCCCAAGCTGACTGTGTTGCCCAAATTGTTCGTTTTACCATTCACTTTTATGCGTTCCAAAAGGTACTTTTCCTAAAATGAACTTGGGTAACATGCCGTTAAAACGGAAGTTAAAGTACTTACAAAATTGGCAACATCGAGAATGTTGTCTTCGACGGGATGTGTACAGTCGATTGTGAATTTACGTCCCTCCTTCTTCTTCGACTTCTTGGTGCTTTTGCCGCGAATGTACTGCTTCTTGTTTGCCGGCTTCGAGATGGCGGGCTTGGCGGTTACCGGTGCGGTTTTCGCGGTGGCCGCGGCGGGTTTCGCGGGGGCCGCCTTGGCGGCGGGTGCCGTCTTCCCACCGGCCTTGGCCGGTGCTGCCGCTTTGGCGGCGGCCGACTTGTTAGCTCCCGATTTGGGAGCGGCTGCTTTCGTCTGGAATCCACAACATAATTAGTTGTGTTTCAACCAGACGTTCTCATTTTAAAGGTCCAATTAGGTGGATCTTTAAATAATTACACACAGTCAACCACATGTGAACTAACCTCAAAAAGTGATCAGATAAATCCACATTTTTTACAATCATCCTCGCGATTTTTAAGAAAATCACTTTATCATTTCATGCAGACATTCATTAACTTTTATATTTAATAATTATTCATCGATTTAGAAATAAAAATTAATTAATTACGCTTACCGCTGCTGCTACTGTTGGTGCCATCCTAAATTCGTATGGGAAAGGAAACTGGTATGAGAAAGAGAAAGAGACATTCACGTGGCGTCGACAAACGAATTTCATTCGCTCGATCGCCGAAAACGCACGACAGAAGAACCATAGACCTAACCGCTATTGCTCAAAATAATATACAGGGTGCGGCAATTTTTTCAGCAATCCAGTTTGACACATAGTCTTCTTATGAGTCTTCATACCAATCCGATCGTCCAAATCCTTCATTCTCATTCTTTTAATTTTCCCGACTGGGTCGGTGCTTCAGAATTATCAGGTTCTTCCGATTCTCCCAATGTTTGGGTTTATCAAGATTCCACAGTTCCTTCTGATGATCAGATTCTCAATTTGTTCGAGTTTTCAGTTTCATCAAGTTTATCGAATGTTTCAAGTTCTCAAGATTTTTCGAATACGTCAGTTTCTATGACTCCTTTGGATTTTCTTAGGTTACTTCAGATCCATCTACTTGTTGGAATCATTACGATTCATGGGATTAGACAACTTCATCGAATAAAATTGACAATCCCCATTTTTTTTAATTTTCGATTCTTCCGATTCTTAATATTTTTCGAATTCTTCAGTTTCTTCGAATTCTTACAATTTTTCGGTTTAATCATGTTGCCATCTTATATCAGGACCACGTACCTAAGTCCTAAAAGCTTTAAACCGATATAAAGAGCCAAGGTTTTTGCATAGAGAAATACCTATATCAAGAGCTTCATGTTACCCTGATAAATAATAGCTTCCAAGAGACAAAATGATTTCATTAAGAGCACAATACTTCAGATCTTATTAACGTTGTACTATTATACAAATCAAACATCTCAAGTTGTACATACAAGGTTAAACGTGGCATAATTAATACATATGGCAAACAGATAAATCAATTGAGAGGTTCCACCCTGTATATACAACTTATGGCGATGCACACAAGTTTGAGAGTTGGCAACCACGCAATTTTTAGGAGGGAAATAAAGTCACTAGATATATATATTTATATATATTTAGTGACTTTAGAGGGAAAAAGCTACATGCGCCATCTAGAGAGCATGCACGTTGGTTACGTTTTGGCATCTTGTCTTTAATGGCGATCTCGAACGCATCGCTCCGTAAATGTTTGTTGTTATTTTAATTCCAGGTAGCAATCTTTGCATTTCTTTATATCGTATTTGTGTTTTGTATGCATCATTTTATATTTTTGTGAGTTTCAATCTTTGTTTTTGAAATTGACTTGATTTAACCTTAATGCAGAATCACGTATTTGATACCGTTATCCTTTTGTTTGTAATCGTTTACGTTTTCGGTGTAATGCTTGCTTAATTTTTGATTACTTGACCAGAAGTAATATTCATAAAAGTTTTGATCATACTTTTAAACGTGTGGACATTATGGAATTTTTTAATGTGTGTATGCGTACTGACTTGTTGTTTGTAAACTAACATTTTCGCCGTGAATGAAGCAGTCAAGAGGGTGGAAATAACTGTAATCAAATGAGTTATGACACCTAATTCCGTGATTGTGTTCGACTTTCAACTGTAGGCTCGAAACCCCGAACGAGGGGCGAGTTATCTATCTTGGGGCAAGATTGTGATAATCAAAACTCTTCGGGTTAGAATCTATGTGCGATAAAAATTGGGTTGTCAGTTTAATTATGGGTGTAACGTGCTGGATAGTTCTCCATGCGACATCATTTAATGATTGCAATAATTTGAGGAAGTACTTTGACGATAACAACCCGTGCAGTACCCTGCATTTATTTTTTGTTTCCGTCACGCAACGCTCGATTTCTCTACTTAATGACAGAAATTAGACGATGACTAGACGAAAATAAATTACCGTACACGAGTAACTAGAAGAAACAACACAAACGGAATCTCTACGAACATGTTAGTGGTCGCTTCAATTTTGGTGGTCGTGGTTTCAATTGTAACGTTTTACTTCAAGTGGTCATGGCTGTATTGGAAAAGGCGTAATGTTCCCCATTCGCCGGTAGATTTTCCTTTCGGCAACGCCAAAGAGCTCATCACTCAAAACGTTTCGTTTGGTGAAGCTTTCGCCAGAGTCTACGAAGAGTACAAGGCGAAGGGGCAGCGCTACTGTGGCTATTATTTTCTGACAAAGCCAGTGTTGGTGGCGACCGATGTCGAGTTGATCAAAAACGTTATGACCAAGGATTTCCAGTTCTTCACCGATCACTTCAGTTACGTGAACGAGAAGGTCGACCCTCTAAGCGGGCATCTGTTCAGTCTCAAAGGCCAACGGTGGAGGAACCTACGGGCCAAGCTCACCCCTACTTTCACATCGGGTAAAATGAAGATGATGTTCCCAACCTTAGTGGACTGCTCGAGGGAGCTGGTGAACATCATGGAGAACTGTGCGGATAATCGCAACGTTCTCGACGTCAAAGATGTTGTAGGACGCTTTACCACCGACATAATCGGCTCTTGCGCTTTTGGAATTGACTGTAACAGCCTCTTCAATCCAGAGTCGGAATTTCGCAAATACGGAGTTAGGGTTTTTGAGGATACTGTAATTGACGCTCTGAAGAATTTCACCTCGTTCAGCTTTCCGGAGATTCTGCATTTGTTCAACGTTGCCATCACCAAGCGGGACGTGGGGGAGTTCTTCATGAACGTAGTCCGGCAAACGGTAAACTACAGGGAAGCGAATGGGGTGATCAGAAAGGATTTTATGCAACTCCTCCTCCAGTTGAAAGATAGTAACGACGCATCCGCTTTAACCATGGAAGAACTGGCAGCCCAGGCGTTTGTGTTCTTCTTGGCAGGCTTCGAGACTTCCTCGACCACTTTGACATTTTGCTTCTACGAGCTCGCCACCAACTTGGACATCCAACGGAAGTTGAGGAAAGAGATTCGGGAGGTCCTCCAAAGGCACGATTCGCAAATCACCTACGACTCGCTCACGGAAATGGTCTACATGGACCAGTGCATTTATGGTACCTAACCTAACAGTTTCGTTCTTTAAATTCTGCTGATTTCAGAAACCCTACGAAAGTATCCACCGGTACCGATACTCAACCGCGAATGCACCAAGGCTTACAAGCTCCCTAACTCGGAACTGGTGCTCGAAAAGGGCACGCCACTGTTTATACCGATCTTGGGCATCCAGCGAGATCCGGTCTACTATCCTGACCCGTCCAAATTCGACCCGGAGAGATTTTCACCCGAGCAAAAGGAGGGACGGCACCCGTTCGCCTGGTTGCCTTTCGGCGAGGGGCCGCGCGTTTGTATCGGTAAGTCCTACGTCCACGTCGATGGTTTGCAAGCCGAAAGGTTTCAGGTATGAGATTTGGGTTAATGCAGACCAAGGTGGCGCTGGCCGTCATGCTGACGGATTATCTCTTTACGTTGAATCAACGGACGGACGTACCCCTGAAGATGGACTCTAAGAGTATAATAACGAGCGCTAAGGGAGGGGTGTGGTTGAATGTCGCGAGGGTGCAATAAAGCTTTACCCACTTCGCTTATTCAAAGTTCATTCAAAGAAACATCATGGGAGTGCAAAGGTTCTCCCAGCTGAATAAACTTCCGTTATCGCTTGCAGATAGCAACAGAAACTGACCGAGGTTGTTTATCGCATTCGATTGTGTTATCAGTGACCACAATTAACCTCTAAATATCGAGCCACCAGGTGGACCAAAAAAAGGAGCTCTTTAGTAACTAGGATATTTTGGCCACTTCCAAAATTTTCTTCTAGAGTCCAAAGTCCTGACTTCTAACAGTTTTAGTACCAGAAGAAGGATTCTCTTCAGTTCTCCTGATACCCTTAGGTCTCAAGAGCACTTTTATCATTTTGATACCAATAATCCTTCGGGGATGCATAAATGAAGAATCGTTTAGCTTCCATATCTGTTCTTCTGCTATTACAGTTTTGTTTTCGGAAGTGCTTTAGATATTAGGAGAGTATGAAGGACTTTTCCGAATTATGTACTTTTCTAATGCAAATCATTTTCTGATAACGTTCCAGTATCAGGAGCGTAAGGTGCAGCACCGCAGTTGTGCTCCTGAGTAGCGTAGCAGGGGCGAACCTCAGTTCAAAGCCGCTCACCACCTGGCGGTGACCTTTGAAACGAGTTCAAGGTGAAGTTCAAAGATTTGGTTTCCCCCAATGACTTTTTTTCAGTGTCATATTTCATCTTCAAGGGCATTAGAGGTCAATGGCGCATTTTTGTGAGATTTGAAGAATACTAGCCTCCTTGGGATGACCTCAAAAAGTAGGGTAAAACAATAATACATAATCTTAAAATTGCATTAGCTTATACAGTGATCTAGGATTTTGAACGGAGAGCAAACTTTGGACTTTGAACGTCGATCAACTTTGAACGGTGTGCAACCTTTGAACACTGACTTATTTACGAAGATCATCACACCGTTAAAGTCAAGGTGTGAGGTTTGAAAATTACTAGAATCCTGGCGGTGCTTTGAAAAGTAGGTAGGCCAAGATAAAGTTCAAAGGTCGATCGGCACCTGGCGTTGGCCTTAAAAAGTGGGCCAAGGTGAAAATCAAAGGTCCGTCGCCCTTAAACATTTCCCCTCTCGGGTGTCACGTGGACTACAAAGCGATAGCGGTGCACAAAGAGCAATTTAGGTAAACTGGGTATAATTAATATTGGAAAATATCTTTACGAATTCGATTGTTACACTCGCACTAGGGGGTAGACTAGTTAAAACAGTATACAGCACAGTCGTTTAATGGGATTTCGGATAACAAAATATGCTTGCAAGGGGAACCCTTGAAAAGAAGTTTGGAGGTCGGCGTGGGGATGCCCCTTCCGTATACCTGAAACTGGGCTCGGCTTCGCTCGTGACGCTGCGAAGCTTGCCCGTCGCTCCTGTCGTTGCGCGATGTCGAGGTTAAGAGCGAAGTTTAAAATATGTTGTTCCCCTGGTGGTGACTTTGGGAAGTAGGTAGAGATGAAGCTCACTACCATATAGGGCTGGTTCTGGACCAGGCCAAGGTCGCTCGACATCTGGTTGTGACCTGAAAACAAACGTCAAGGTGAAACTCGCCTCACGGTGATGACTTTGGGAATTTGATGAAGGTGACCTTGTGAATTAAGTCAAGGTCAAGTTTAAGAGTCGATGTCTATAACAGGTCGCTCGCCTCACTGCTTCACTCCTGGAGCCTAGACGTGACGTCGGGAGATAGATCCAGGTGACGTTCAAAGGTCAGTTCAGATTTCATTATTCCTAATGATCGTTTTCTAGATTAGTTCAAGAACACATTATTAGTATATGACCTTTGTTGACTTTAAAAATGAAATAAGACGCGAAAAAGATGGGGTCATTGACCTTGAAAATTAAATGTGGTCTCTCTCCTTCGCACGAGGACTTCCAAAACTAGCAGTCTCAAAGGTTAACGATGTGGTGATCTTCGTAAACGAGTCAGTGTTGCTCACCGTTCAAAGTTCAAATGTTAGTCGCCGCTCAAAGTTCAAAGTTTGCTTGCCGTTCAAAGGCTAGGTTTACTGTATAACCGAAAGCAATTTTAAGATTATGTATTCTTGTTTAAGTGTAATAATAATAATAAAATCATTGTTTACAATTACTACTTCACTACAAACACGATAATGGGGTTTAAGTATTCAATATTTCTCATTTAAACCTAACCACTTGACGTATATTTAATTGTTCTTGCATCTAAGGGTTTTCTCAATCAAATAGACGTCAGGATCTTTAACCTTTTGTTAGTGAAGGGAAATAGCGATTATAGTAGTATTAAGTAACTGGTCCGGTAATACGAATTTTTATGATCTTAAACAACCCGCTAGGAGTATACCCTTTTTGTTGCATACTAGATTAGCTAGTATCTCGTTTTTTATTTAAAAAGCGGTTCCCTGAGGCTGAGCCGCCTCGCCTCGTCCTTCGCGCTTTTTTCAGTATCAGGAGCATATAATATTTCAGTGTTAACAGCTTTTTGCGTTTCTGTGTACCGGATACTACAACTTCGGAAAAAGAAATTTGCATCAGGAGAAAACATATTTCTGTAATCCTGATATACTCAGGAAGATATCACATGTCAGATGTTTATACTTATATGCCTAATGTATCTGTAATAATATCAGGAACATATGACATTTCAGCGATTATTTTTAAATAAATCGCAGTTTTTTGCGCTTCTGTGAACCTGATACACGATTTTGAAACAGACGAATTTTTGATCAGGAGTGCATACCTTTCACACATTTCTATAACCTTGATATATCAGTCTTGTCAATTAATTTTACACTTTCTTGTACTTTTTACGCCTCTAAGAAAACCATTTTTAAAAGTATCAGGAGCGTATAATATTTGAGCGGTTATGTCAAAACATTTTACAATTTTCTGTGTGCCTGTGAATCTTGAGACCACAGTTAGAGAATCTGGAGCGTATGATGTGAGAAACCCATTGTTAATTGAAAAACTGTATCAGGCGCACATAATTAATAATATTTTTTGCTTATATTATTGCATTATGAAAAGTATCAGGAGCATATGACACGACATAGCACTTTGAGAAAAAGAGGTGAACGTAATGAATATCTCGACGAATATCTCTTTGTACATTTCTGTAAAATGTATTAAAAGGAATACAGTAAGGGACATAGCTTCGGCATCGCCTCGCCTCGCCCTGTTAATTGCTCTACTCTTCGCACTTTTATAAGTATCAGAAGCATATAATATTTCAGTGTTAATAGCTTTTTGCGTTTCTATGTACCTGATACTACAACTTCGGAAAATGAAATTTGCATCAGGAGAAAACATATTTCTGTAATCCTGATATACCAATTTTGAAAACTATCAGGAGGATATCACATGTCAGATGTTTACACTCTGTCCGTAATGTATCTGGTAATAATATCAGGAAAACATGACATTTCAGCGATATCTCAATAAATCACAGTTTTCTGGGCTTCTGTGCACCTGATACACGATTTTGAAACAGACGAATTTTTGATCAGGAGTGCATACCTATCACACATTTCTATAACCTTGATATATCAGTCTTGTCAATTAATTTTACACTTGTATGCATACCTTTCTTCAGTCTTCAGCATATAACATACATCTTGTCAATTAATTTTACACTTTGTTGTACTTTTTACGCCTCTAAGAAAACCATTTTTAAAAGTATCAGGAGCGTAAAACATTTGAGCGGTTATGTCAAAACATTTTACAATTTTCTGTGTGCCTGTGAATCTTGAGATCACAGTTAGACTATCTGGAGCGTATGATGTGAGAAACCCATTGTTAATTGAAAAATTGTATCAGGCGCACATAATTAATAATATTTTTTGCTTGCATTATTGCATTATGAAAAGTATCAGGAGCATATGACACGACATGGCACTTTGAGAAAAAGAGGTGAACGTAATGAATATCTCTGTACATTTCTGTAAAATGTATTACAACGAATACAATAAGGAACATAGGTGCGGCTTCGTCGGCTACGCCGCCTCGCCTCGCCCTATTAATTTCCTTTGGAATTGACGTTTTTTATTGTAACCACTTTCCCGTAGTAAGAAGGCGAGGCGAAGCGGTTTGGCCTCCGAAGCCGAAGCTATATCTCTTACTGTATTAAAAAAAATACAATAGGTACATAACTTCGCCTTCCGCCGCCTCGCCTCACCCTGCTAATTCTCTTCGTACGTGACAACTTTGCCGCAACATCAGGAAGAGGCGAACCGGCGCAACCACCAAAGCTATATCCCGTATTGTATTAAAAAGAATACAATAAGGACATAGCCCCTGCTTTGGCGGCTGTGTCGCCTCGCCCTGTTAATTTCTGTACTCTTCGCGCTTTTTTAAAGTATCAGGAGCATATAATATTATATATATATACTAGTAAACACTTCTAAAGGTTCTTGAACGCGCATAAAAATCCAAAATTCCCTTTGAGGCACAACTCTGAGCTTTAATAATGATTTCTAGGTGTTTCTAAGGACATTCAGAGGCTCTTAACAACTCTAAAGGTCAAAGTTTGTAGGCACCTTCTGGAGTCTTATGGAAGCAAAGGTTCTTCAAGTATACTCATCAATTTTTAGAAGATTTTAAAAACTATACTTATAGCCCTTGAAGGCTCGGCTCCTGAACCGTCTGGAATAGACTCAGCCTCTAAAGCTTCTGCAAGTTTCTTGACTTTTGGAAGTCTTTGCATACTGTTTACAACGTCTGGGAACCCGTATATATGTCTTCCTAAGAATTTTGAGATAATACAGGTCCCTTAACCTCACTCAACGCAAAAATTTTAAAGGCGTCTATGAACTAAGAATGCTCTTGGATTCTCTTGGAGACTCTTAATGATTACGTACAATATTTAAAGGTTTTTTAGAGAACAGTCTCTTACAAATCTTTAAATTGACACATTTACCGCTTCATAGCGAACGTGAACGAAAGTATGTCTGGCGATAACAAGAAACATATTGCGGAAAGCGAACGTAGGTGCCACGATCTCTTCGGACCTAAAAGTTCCGTTTTGCGAAAAGCCGAGCAGGTGACGGAAATGAGGTTGCTCTTTAAAGTTCGGATATTAATAGCCGTAATGGTTACTGACGGCTCTTAAAAACTGGTACAACAGGTAACTACTAACTTTAATAGGGGATGACATTCTGAATGGAAAAAAAACTACAAGTTTTATGAGAAAATTGTGCTTTATTAAGAAGCAAGCGAACTTCGGCCTTGAGTACTGAAAACAAACGAAGTTAAATTTTCTCCTTGACCGCGTCCAACCACAGTCCGCCATCGACCTTAGTAGAATGCCCGAAGGGAATCAATTTTATTGGCCGCTTTGTTTTCGGGTTCACCGTGAACTTGTAGTTCATCAGAAGGGCGGTCAGTCCGACTTTGGTTTGGAGCACCCCAAATTTCATCCCTGAAAGCGAAATGGCGTAACGCCAGCAGGCCATGGAACGCTCCCTCTTACCGATGCAAATGCGAGGACCTTCGCCGAACGGTAACCACGAGAACGGATGGCGAGTCGTCTTGTTCTCCGTTGAAAACCTGTCCGGATCGAACCTTAAGGGATCGGGGAAGTGTTGGGGATCGCGCTGGAAGCCCAAGATAGGGATGTGGAGCTGTTCGCCTTTGTTTATTGTTAGGTCGGAATCGGGAACCTTGTACGTCTTGGTGCAGAGTCGGCTGATAAATGAGATCGTGGGATGCACGCGGAGCGTTTCTGAAATTTGGGTGCGATTAGATGCGAGTGGCGAGGATTTTACCGACCATAAATGCACTGCTCCATGTAGGTCATCTCCATGAGCGCTTCGTAGGACATTTTATTGCCGTGCCTCCCTAGGACTTTGGAAATTTCTTTCTTAACCTTCATCTGCAGTTCCATGTTTGCAGCCAGCTCGTAGAGACAAAACGTTAACGTGATCGAGGCCGCTTCAAATCCGGCTATGAAGAAGACGAATGCCTGAGCTGCAAGCTCGTTCATCGTTAAGGAGTTGCCATCCCCCTTCTTTGTAAAGTGACCCTTTCCGTCTCCGTCGTCTTCGATGCTGATGTTATTCTTCAGTTGCAGCAAGAGGTGCATGACGTCGTTCCTGACGATATTGTTTTCTTCCCTGTATTTGACGGTCTCGAAAACAATATCCGTGAAGAACTTGGCTACATCTTTCTTCACCAGAGTAAGGTTGAACTTGTGGAAAATTTGCGGGAAGGTTAAGGCCGAGAAACTTTTGAACGCTTCAAACGGTGTGCTCGAAAAGAACCTTTTTCCGTACTTGTGGAAATCTGAGTTTGGGTTGAGAAGGGTGTTACACTCGATGCCAAACGCGCAGGTTCCGATGATGTCGATGGTAAATCTCTCGGCGATGTCTTTTATATCCAACGGAGATCCGATGCCCTTGCCGACAAGATTGACCATTTCCGGTGAGCAGCCGACGATCGTTTGGAACATCATCTTCAGCTTCCCCGAGGTGAAGACCGGTGTTAACTTAGCACGCAAGTTCCTCCACTTCTCCCCCTGGAGGCTGAACAGATGCCCACTGAGCGGATCCACCTCCTCGTTTACGTAAAAAGGGTGATCGGTAAAATGTTGGAAGTCCTTGGTCAATATCGTCTTGGCCAAATCAACGTCGGTCACCATCAACATCGGCTTTGTGAAGAAATAGAAGCCGCAGTACCTCAACCCCAGCGACTGGCATTCCTCGTACAGTCGTGCTATTCGTTCCCCGAACGACATTGTCCGCGTCATTATCTCCTTCGCGTTCCCGTAGGGGAATTCGACCGGGAATTCGCGTACATTCCTCGATCGCCAGAAAGACCACGATCGCTTGAAGTATAGGGCGACCAGGGCCGCTAAAAGCACAAGAGTCGCGATGACAGTCGAGGTGAAATACAGCAACGCACTCGTCAGGGACATTTTTAGACACTGGTCCCGTATTGTTGCGGAACGCCCGGTATCTACTGATAAACGGGTTCAATGTGTTAACATGTTTTTGTTCGAGTGCTTTTGACAACACATATCTCAGTACGGGTCAGTGATTGAACAGTAAAATTAGACACAAACGGATCAAAAGTGTTTTTCAATCAGTGGAAAGACGACTTGATACCCGATATTTGGACATATGCCTGGCGACTCCCAGAATTTAGTCAACTGTCGTGGAGATGTGTCCTACCAGGGATGCATTTCCACCACTTTTGTTGCAATTGCACTGGGCCGCGACAATGTAGTTTATTTTGTGGGTTGGGGGGTTGAGGGGGGGGCTAACTGGTTGTTGCCCGACCTGAAAGGGTACGGCCTTAGCTTCGCCACTTTATTCTTGGTTGCTTGTGCTTATGTCCGATTCTTCATTATGCGGTACTGATACTAAACGGTCATCAATAAACCATTTACATCATGAGATTTCCGTCACGTGTTCGGATTTTCGCAAAACGGAACGAAACTTTCAGGTCCGAAGAGATCGTGGCACCTACGTTCGCTTTCCGCAATATGTTTCTTGTTATCGCCAGACATACTGTCGTTCAGGTTCGCTATAAAGCGGTAAATGTGTAAATTTAAAGGTTTGTAAGAGACTGTTCTCTAAAAACCTTTAAATATCGTACGTAATCATTAAGAAAATCCAAGAGCTTTCTTAGTCCATAGAAGCCTTTAAAAGTTTTGTGTTCGGTGAGATTAAGGGACCAAAATTCTTAGGAAGACAATTAAGTGTCCCCAAACGTCGTAAACAGTATGCAAAGACTTTCAAAAGTCAAGAAACTGGCAGAAGCTTTAAAGACTGAGTCTATTCCAGACACTTCAAGAGCCGAGCCTTTAAGGGCTATATAAACCCTATGAGTTATAAGTATAGTTTTTAAAAACTTCCAAAAATGTACTAGTATACAACTTAAAGAACCTTTGTTTCCAAAAGACTTCACAAGGTGCGTAGAACCTTTAACGTTTAGGGTTGTTCAGAGCCTCTGAATGTCCTTAGATACCCCTAGTAATCATTAAGGCTCAGAGTTGTGCCTCGAAGGGAATTTTGGATCCTTTAAGGGTTACTATCAATGCACAACAACTTCTGAGGAACAGCCTTTGTAACAGAGGGTCGCTTGGCCGTTTTCAAAAATTTGTGTTTTGATCAACATAGGAAAATTTCCACATCTACCGCTGCATAGCGAACATGAACAAAAGTGTGCCTGGCGATAACAAGCACACGAAAGGTATTGCGGTTACCACAATCTCTTGGGATCTAAAAGTTTCGTAACATTATACCTAGCTTTCCTATCGGTCATTAAAAGTCGACGTCATTTCCGTTCAGAAATATGTATACTGTTTGAGTGTGAAATTTTCTATGGTTGACGGTTTTATAAGTGGGTGATTCGTAAGAAGAGTTTTGTTTAAAAGTAGTAAAATTTACGCGAAGGAACATTTTCGAGTTGAAGAAATTTTTATTAAAAAACGCTCGCTCGCTCGCCTCCTAGTGATCACCTTAGCCATGGTGAAGTTTAAGAGTTGCTTACGCCGTTTTGAAAAGTAGTTCAAGCTGTCAATCAAAGGTCGCTCACTCCGCTGCTTCATGCATCGCTGTAAAAGGCTATAATCGTAGCGGGTGGTTTAAGATCATAAAAATTCGCATTACGGGACGAGTTACTTAATACTACTATAATATAGCTACTTCCCTTCAGTAACAGAAGGTTAAAGATCCTGACGTATATTTGGTTGAGAAGATCCTTAGACGCAAGAACAACTAAGTATACGTGAAGTCTTTAGGCTTAAATGAGAAATTTTGAATACTTAAGCCCTATTATCGTGTATGTAGTGAAGTAGTCATTGTAGACAATTATTCTATTATTATTACACTTAAACAAGAATACATAATCTTAAAATTGCATTCGGTTATAATAGTAAACCTAGGATTTTGAACGGCGAGCAACCCTCGAACTTTGAACGGTGAGCAACCTTTGGACACTAACTCATTTACGAAGTTAAATATCTGCTTGTTTGTTGATGGACGGTAAATATGGCAAACAGGAGTAAAACAAGGAAAGGAGTATGTAGCGTTTTTTTTCTTACCAATTGATATTTTGTATTCCATTTAAGTATCTTCGAATTTTTTTACTCGTTGATCGTTGAGTGAGAAAGAGGCACAACTATAATGTAAAATTGCGATACATATTCCCCATCTCACTCGCAGGAGCTTCCCTCACCCCACAGTCCCCGGGGGGTTGGGGGGGGGGGGTTACACGTGCGACTCTGATGCTTAAACGCCGCCGCCCAACAACACAAACCGACATTGTGGTTCAATGGTAGAGCGTTGGGTTCTAAATCCGGAGGTTCGAAAGTTGTAAGGACCAGGAGAACAAGTGTAGAAGACAAATGTCTCTTCGTTGTATAAATAAAAAATGTGCATTACAAGAGTAGGATGAAACTTACAGAATTAAAAACCGCACTTCATACTCTCCTGATACATGACAAATTTGAGAAAAAAAGTTTTAGGCGACAGGAGAATCAGTGTGGATGATTGCTCCTGATAGTAAAAATTACTTGCATTAAAAGAGTAGGATGAAGCTACAGAAGTTCAAAATCGCAATTCCAGTCGCCTGATACCTGATAGATTTACAAAATGAAAATTGTATCAGAACAACAGGTTCATATGCGGAAAGGGTTATTAAAAAAATTCATTATAAAGGTAGGACGAAACTTTATGTACAAAAATTAAAAATCGCTTTCTTACTCCCCTGATACGTACGACATTTACGAAAATAAGGGACAACGGGAGTGGAAGATAAATAACCTTTCATTATTTATGCTACTTATACCAAATGTTCATCATGCTCATCACATACATAAATCCATAATCGCACAATCGCTTTAAGTATCAGGAGAACAAGTGTGGAGGGTAAAGAACACTTTATTATATTTGCGTTTGTGATATTAAAAGTCGGTTGCATAATAATAGTAAGATGAAACCCTCCGAAATCCATAATCTTACTTCATACTGTCCTGATACCCATGACATTTACGAAAATTAAGTTTTAAGTATCAGGAGAACATATGTTGAAGATAAATGACCCTTTGCTATACCCCTCTGATACTAAAAGGTCATTATTTGCCTCAAAAGAGTAAGGTGAAACTTGCAGAAACCTCTAATCGCACGTTATATCGCCCTCTTGCACCTAAAAAATTTGCGAAAATAAAGTTGCATCGGGAGAACAGGTGTGGAAGGTTCCTGATATACTTACGATACCAAAAGGTCTTTAAAAAGTAATTTGCAACTGAAAAAACTCCATAGTTGCACTTCATATTCTCCTGATACCAAAAAGAAACTTGTAGGTATTAGGAGAACGCGCGTAGAAAATAAGTTACATTGTGATAGTAAGACACTATTACATACGCTTTTGATCCTAAAAGTTGATACCTTAAATTTAGTCAACTGTCTTGAGGATGTGTCCCTGGTAGGAACTAACAGGGGTGCATCTCCACCACTTTTGTTGCCATTGCGCTGGGCCGCGACATATGCCAAACAATGTTGTGGATTTTGTGACTTGGGAGGTTGTGGGGAGGCGGCTGACTGGTTGTGTCCCGATCCGAATGGGTACGGCCTCCGCTTCTCCAATGGAATATCTGCATTAGAAGGAGCTTTCCTTCCTAATGATAGCCTCTCCACCGGTGTTCCACTACTTTCCGATGCTTTGGATCTCGTTCCCTTCCGCCTTGTTTCTTCCTTCCTTATTATTGCCCTCTCTCTCTCTTTCTCTCGGCTGCATGTGGCTGATTCTTCATTATGCGGTACTGATACTAAATGGTCATCAATAAACCATTTACATTATGTGATGAAACGTACATAAATCAATAATCGCACTTCATACACTCGCAATACCGAAGATATTTGGAAAAGAAGGTTTTAAGTATCAGGAGCACAAGTGCAATGGAAGGACGACACTTCATTTCACGTTTCGGGTACTAACAGTTCAAAAAATTTATTTGAATTAAAGAGAAAGTGAAACTTAATTTTAAATCCTTACTGGCATTTTATATTCTCCTGATGACTAAGACGTTTACAAAACGAAAGTTGTAAGGACCAGGAGAACTAGTGTAGAAGACAAATGTCTTTTCGTTGTATGAATAAAAAATGTGCATTAAAAGAGTAGGATGAAACTTACAGAATTAAAAACCGCACTTCATACTCTCCTGATAACATGAAAAATTTGGGAAAAATGGTTTTAGGCGACGGAGAATCAGTATGGATGATTGCTTATGATAATACAAATTACTTGCATTAAAAGAGTAGGATGAAACTACAGAAATTCAAAATCGCAATTCTGGTCGCCTGATACATTTACAAAATGAAAATTGTGTTAGAACGACAGGTTAATATGCGTGTTATACTAAAGGGTTATTTAAAAGATTCATTATAAGGGTAGCACGAAACACAAAAATTAAAAATCGCTTTGTTACTCTCCTGATACGTACGATATTTACGAAAATAAGGGACAATGGGAGTGGAAGATAAATAATGACCTTTCATTATATTTACATTTGTGATATTAAAAGGCGGTTGCATTATAATAGTAAGATGAAACCCTCAGCAATCCATAATCTTACTTCACTATCCTGATACCCATGACATTTACGAAAATGAAGTTTTAAGTATTAAGAGAACATGTTTTGAAGATAAATGACCCTTTGCTATAGCCCTCTGATACTAAAAGGTCATTATTTGCCTCAAAAGAGTAAGATGAAAAGAAATCCCTAATCGCACGTTATATCCCCCTCTTGCACCTAAAAAATTTGCGAAAATAAAGTTGCATCAGGAGAACAGTTGTGGAAGGTTCCTGATATACTTATGATAGCAAAAGGTCTTTAAACAGTAATTCGCATCATTTGAAACTGACAAAAATCCATAGTTGAACTCCATTTACTCCTGATACCTGACATTTACAAAAAGAAACTTGTAGGTATTAGGAGAACGCGCGTAGAAAATAAGTTACATTCTGATAGTATGACACTTTGATATACGCTTCTGATCCTAAAAGTTGTTAGGTACCTGATACTTTGGCATATGCCTGGGGTAGTCGCATCTCCCGGAATTTAGTCAACTGTCGTGGGGATGTGTCCCTGGTAGGAACTCTCCACTAGTTTTGTTGCCGTTACGCTGGGCCGCGGCATATGCCAAACAATGTGGTGGATTGGGGAGGTTAAGGGGAGGCGGCTACTTGGTTGTGGCCCGATACAAAAGAGTACAGCCTCAGCTTCGCCACTGGAATAACTGCGTTAGAGAGAGCTCTGCTTTCTGGTGATACTCTCTCTACCGGTGTCCCATTAGTTTCCGATGCTCCCATCTTTTGATCTTGTTTCCTTCTTTCTGTTCCTCCCTTCCTTATTGTTGTCCTCTCCCTGATTCCCTTTCTGTCTCCTCTTCATTGGGATAAGCTTAGCGATGTTCTCTGCAAACTCGGCGAATTCCTTGATCGCTGACTCTGTTTTTCTCCTCCCTGGCCTTCCTTAGCTCCTTCTTTGCTTCAGGTTTGTGTGGGTTTTGCTCAAACCTCTTCAGTGCTCTGCTATGGTTGTCCGTGGATTGCTTCCTGTTCGGTGACATGTCCCCCAAGTGTTTTCTCTGCTGGTTCCTTGAGCGTTTCGGCGATGGTCTCCCTTCCCCCTTTTTGTTCCTGATCTCGTCCTGCTTCTTTCTATACTCCTCCCTTTACTTCTCCCCTGTCTACGGTTTCACATCCCACCATTCAGTTCTCTCGCTTTGCTCCCTGTCATTTCCTTCTTCTTCGCTTCTCCCCTCCCCTACTTTCCCCCTTATCATTTTGTGGTCCGTCTTCATATGCTCGTCTTGATTTGGGCTTTAAGAGTTTCTAATAATCTGAAGAGGCCATCAAAGATCTTATATTTATTAAATTCCAAAATCTAAAATTTAAAGTCCTTAGAAATGTTCTTCAGGCGCACGGCAATAAATTAAAGATATTCCGCAGTGTGTAGATGTTAAAAAGTGTACCTTTGTAACAGGATTTTAACAGCAAACAGAAGCTTAAATTAATTGTCTTTAAGCTTTTCACCGGTAGCCGTTTTGTTCATAATTTTGTTCGCACTTCATAGAAACAACTTAGGTATATGAATTTCATTAATAAACTAGTTTTTTAATCGTAACAAACTTAAAAAATACTTTTGACACGAACTCTTTTAACTTCTAATTTAATACAAACTTTTCGCGATTGCACGTAACTTGTATTGTTTCAGCTCCCCCACCTATTTGCCGATTAAAAGATACAAGCGTTCACTCGGTTTTTTTTATAGATAGGTAAATATAGCGGACATTGCCCCTCTCATGCCCTGTCGCGACAGTTTCCAGAGCCGGTAACACTGCAACGTTTCGGTTCTTATCTGCTTGAACACTTGTTTCTTATCTTAACGCGCGTTATTTTTTCATATATTATTCCTGTTCTCTTTCATTATGAAGCGGTACACCTATACAATTTTCTACGTCGACCAAATTTGTAAATTTAACAAAACATCTTTACAGCCTAAAGCGACCTTCACACCTTCAATGCCGAGTCTCCGAAAAACTCTAAGAAACAAGGAATTCAGGCAATCAAAAAAATTCGAAGAATTCAAGCGGACAAATCCGAAGATTAGGATAAATTTAAAGGACTTCAGGCTCCAAAAAAAACCGAAAGCATCCGAGGACACCCGGTCACTTCAAGGATTTCAAAGTTCATTGTAGAGAAACCGAGGAACTTTCTATTCGCTTTTCTCCATGAACGCTTTGAGTTACTTGTACATCGGGCGTTAAAAGCCCCGAATTTTTTTATCTGCAGATGGCGGGGCGTTAAGACGTGACCTGAATTAAGAGCTAGAAAGATCTCGAGATTTGAATAATCTGTACCTTTTAATGAATCTGATGGACTTGTAAAACGTGAGGGTTCTAAAGAAGACAAAGAAAAATTCAAGAGTAGCAAGGATTTGTACTTTCAGGGAAGATGGGGTCCCAAAGACTTAAAAATCTGACGAGTCTTGGGAATCTAAAAGATTTGAAAGCTTGACGATACCCGGAAAGATCCGAGGAACCCAAAGAACTTTAAGATCCTAAAAAACGTGAAATCACCCGAGGACTCCGATCACTTCAAGGACTTCAAAGGGTCCGAAAAATCCGTTGGAATTCGAAATACCCGAAAAATTTGGACAATCTTTGAACTCAAAGGGATCCGAGTACCTACTCCGAACGCGGAAGAGAAACCGAGGAATTCTGGAATCCGCGAAACCGAAGAAGTCTTAGTAGGTACCTACTCCGCAACAACTCCAAACCTCCAAAGAACATAATTCCGGATGATCGGAAGAATTTAAAGAAGCCAAGGGGTCCAGCGGTTTTGGCCGCGTACCTGCCCTACATATATGGCAGGGTGACCGATGAGAAATTTTTCATAATTACAAACCTGAAATTCGATTAAATTTGGAAATAAAGAATTTAAATATTCCTTAAGTAAAGAAAACGGCAAAAATAAAAAAAAATGTATTTTACAAGCTACAGAAGATTTAAAAAAAAAAGAAATATTTACAACTTGGCATTCAGGCTCAGTCGATCGGTGACCTCCTGCCACCAGCTCGGTCTGGAGAAAGCCGCCGGATGCTGATAGATGGCGGCCTGAAGGTGCTTGTAAACCTGAAATGAAACGTTCGACAAGTTTCGGATCAGTGCGTACGAACCTCGCCGTCTGAGTTGCCCAAAATTGAGTTGAGCATGAAGTCGGGGCAGGCGACTGCGTCCACCAGGCCGATGGCTTCGCTTTTCAGCTCCTTGCACAACTTGAGCACGCTGTTCTGAAGCATCGTGACCGGCTCGGGACCGACAATGTATCCGCCGATGTGCAGTTTGGACATGTGCTGTTCGAGCATCCAGCATCCGAGCAGTTGGAAGAGTTTTACCAGGACAGTGCGAAGGGGGCCTTCTGGTGTATCCGCAATGCGTTTCCACATGGTTTCCAAGACGAGGTGGTGAATGTACGCCGTCGCCAGGGTTTTGGAGTAAAAGATCTGACTTTCACTCCGAGCGTAGGCGTGGGAGTTGCCGTTCAACAGACGTTGGTACTTGTCATAGGTGGACTTCATCATATAGCACACCAGCCATTTGTACGTGTGCAAGATACCTGCAAGTGTCAGACTTAGTTTTCACTGCACTTAGGCGAGTACTCCTCACGTTTTGGACAAAGAACCCCATCTTTTCCGTCGACCACGAACTTCTCCTGCAGAATTTCCTGGGAATTGTTCAAAAACTCGACCGAGTTCATCAGGGTTTGAGGCAGTCGTTTCCCTTTCAGCACCGTGGACCAAAGTGAGAGCAGCCAGTCGCTGGTCTGTAGAAGCTCCTCGTAGTTGTCACCTTCGACCGTGCAGTTGAAGTCATTGCTCGCTCTCAGCTCGCCGATTCCGGTAGCTGAAAGGACCCTTTGAGCTTACGTCAACGTGACAAAAAGCTACCTCTAAGGTATCCGTGACCGCCGCAGGCCTCGCGGCACTCTTGAATTCCATCACGTGCGAACCATGACGCAATCGCTTTCGCTCCGCTGGAAATCGCGCGCAATTCCCCCAGGTCCGCGATCATCTTCTTCTCGCCGGAGTTGATTACGGACTGGACGTGTCGCGTAAAGAATTTTAATGCGTACGTAACAGCGAGGTATGGCAAAAGGCGGTATTGCTAAAATGATGAGTAAATACGGTAAATTTCCCCGAGGGCAACCTACATGAGTTTGGTACTCGATGATGCACACTTCCTCCTCTTTGTCACTTGGAGCAAACTGTCTACGAACGCCAGCGTATCGGAGCGCAATAGTGACTGCGTTGAGGAGGTAGGTGTTGGCAACGTTGGCAACACGCATCTTCGGAATGGTAAAGACGCAATGCTGGACGAGGGGCGCATCCACGGTGTTTTGGTGCTCGATGTATCTACCATCCTCAGTAACATCTGCGATACGGTTCAAGAGACTCTCTCTCGGCACCGGATACGTATTAAATCTAATGAAACTGAAACACCACTTAGAAATTGCCGCATGGGGTGAGAACTTACGAATGATCCACGCCGTTGAGGCCAGCTTTTTCGCCCATATCGCCCACTATGACACCCGGCCGAGGCTTGAGATTGGCGTCGTGGAGCTCCACGAGAAAAGCGTGCAACCCCTTTCGCTCACCGCTCGGAAGGATAAGATGGGCGTAGACCACGCCGTAATGGGCCGTCTTCCCTAAACTTCCAAAATATCACTCTCCCAATTTCAGCCATTCAGCTTACCCAAACTGACGTACGATTTCGCCGACTTAAAGTCGGGCGTGTCCAAAATGAACTGCTTTCTTCTCGCGTCGTAGGTGGCAGTCGTTCGCATTTCCTCCTCGTCGGATCCGTACGCGATTTCGGAGTAGCACACGCAACCGTAAATCTGCAAGTGATTCGATTAAGACGGGGGTTCACGCTAGGGTGTCCCTTACATCGCCCCTCAGAGCTCTTGTCATGAGTTCCACGTGTCTTTGTGTGCCCATCACGCGGAGAACGTTAGGAAACAGGTCAAAGGTTGTCGTGTATTTAATACCCAAGCTCGCATCTAGCGCGAAAACATTCTCAACGAAGGACAGGTACTCCAAGGGCGTGAAGCCGTTACCGTTCGTTAGCTTATTGACGACGTGCTCAAGAATGACCAACTTCTTCGCGGTGATTCGCCTTTGTTCGGCCAGTGGTGGCGTTTCCAGCTCATAGTTGTACAGTAGGGGGTGTTTCCTGAACTCCTCATGCAGGCGTTGCTGGAAGAGAAATTAACAATTGTTGCGTCCAGTGTCCAGGGAGAAAAACAAACCTCGAAGCTCAACAGTCCTTCGGGTTTCATCAGCAGCTTCATCTGCTTCCAGTCGAAAGATGCCGTGCTGCGGTACTTGTCTAGCGGCCCGTAGGGGAAGTCTACGAGTTTCTCGCTCATTTTGTGGTTCTGAAATGTAAACACTTTAGAATCAGAGTCGGTAGGTTCGGTGACCTCATTTTCAAATAATAAACGAAAAAAAGAATTTGATGCAAGTTTTGAATGCCGTCGAGGTAAGTACAAGCTTTAGAGGTTTATATGCTAAGAGAGGTAATTTTGAACGACATCGAGTCATGATTTAACTATCTCGCCTTTAAAGCGATCCAGTTTTCTGTTTTTCTTGGAGGGAGCCTTTTTCAAGATTCGGCTTAGAAAGAGGTGATAATCTTGGGGAAATGAAGACCCTTAAAGATAAAGGATCGGTTCTTAAAGTTTCCTGAAATTTCCCAAATTGAAAAGGCTCTTAAAGGCCTTTAGAGACACATAAAAACTTAGAACAAACCAAGGTTATCAAAGACTCTTCAAAGCGCATTCATTCAGATAAGCAGCGAGTGTATACAAGCACTAAAGACCACTCTGACGAAGCCGGATGGACGGTTCTTCTGTTATACTTTTGCAAGTATAAAAAAGCTTAGCTTGCGTTGGGTTCGTTTCAGGTTTGTAACTCGGCGAGTATATTAGAAAAAATTGGGTGGGAGAATGGGATTCTTCGCTGAACCGTCAAGGCGAACCTAGATAAGTTGTGCGCGGTATTTTTAGAGTCAGTAACATTTCCAAACGATAGTTCTAAAGCGAATTCGTATAATCACAGTATGTGGAAGATTTTAACAGCCGCGTAATCGCACGTGACATTGTTATTAAAAAAGTTTAAATTAATTGCCACATTACGAAGGAAAATGGGCCACTATTTCGACAAACATTTTTGCCGTGAGTGCTTTTTTGCCATTACAAATAAATGTAATGTAAGGTGGCCGAAAGGAACTTCGTATAATTAGTGCTTTTGCTAACCTATAACTGGCTAGTTACCCTCCGATCCTAAAACAAAATTTAATTTCTACAGAACTGGCAAAAATTTTACTGTAGCAATTATTTTTTTGTAATGAAATATAATACCCGTTCTTTCGTTAAAGCGTCATAACTTTACCTCTACGCACGGGGGGGCAAATATAAGGGGGGGGGGGGTTATATTCATATCACCTTTGATTCTTGAGCGCGACACAACAATATAGGAGTACAAGGTAAAAAACGGCATGGTTCTAGCCGCCGTCGTTTCCGAATAAACGACAAGATTGCCATCCGTAAGCAATGTGTGGAGGGGAGGGGGGGGGATGCGACCCGACACCTCGGAAGCGCAATTGAACCACAAGGCCAACGCACAAACCCGCAACTCGATACGCCCCCTCGTTCTCTCACTACGGCGTCATATAAGTTTTCCTTTATGCAGGGGAAGGGGTGGGGGTGCAAGCCCAAATCTTCGTCGATTCTAGAACGCATCTGCTCAATATAGGAGTCCACCGTAAAAATTCGGCACGCTTCTAACCCTCTTCGTTCCCGAATAAACGCCAAAAAAAGAGAAAAGTGCAATTTATGAGCAATTTGGGGGGGGGGGGGGGTGACCCGACGTCTCTGAAACGCAGTCGAACTGCGACGCAAAAGCACAAAACTGCGTGCAACTCGATACATCCCCCCGTTCACCCGCTACAGCCTCTTAACTTTACCTCTACGCGGCAGGGGGGGGGGGGCAAGGTCGTCGGCAAATGGCGCGTTGGAAACATGATTGTCCCCACGTGTATTCGAGATGGTGAAAGTTTAATTAAAAAACAAGATGCAGTTTTCGAGTAATTCTCGAAAAACCGTCACTCGCGCCTCCTCGTCCACCCCCACCCCCACGCCCCCCCGTAATCGAACTCTGACCCGGCACTTCGGAAGCGCCCTCGAACTACGAGACTAATGCAAAAAACGCAACTCGATACTTTGCCTTTGCCACGCATAACCACGTCGCGGAAGGGGAGGGGGAGCTCGGCGCATTGGAAACGTTTAAACGTCTCGCATACGATTTGCCACCTCTGCCCTCCCATAACTATTTTTCACGGCAAAAAATCCGTTTTATCCCCATAAAGCGGAATTTTTCTCGAAAAATTTCCACCACCGGCCGCCCTATTCGTTGGTGCCACCTAATCGCAGCAACTTAAAAGTTGGTTCGTATCTCCCCTCCTTCGTCCGCTACGAATGTTTGAAGTCGCGTATATACCCGAAAACGGCCTAGCCGGCGCACTTTTCGCCCTCCCCCTACCACCCGGGGCGGTCGAGCCGGATCACAAAATTCGAAAAGTGCCCCCCTCCCCCGCGGAGGGGGGCGATAAAGAATTCTCCCTACCCGGTTCGATGCGCCCGTCCTCGGTGCCCCCTACGCCGCGGCGGTGCTTACCATTTGTCCTCCGTAGGGGGTTTTATGGGGAAAAACACGAAAGTGTTAGTAGTGCGGGGGGGGGGGGGAGACGTGGAGCGATTTGGCTCGTTTTCACATATTTCTCTATCCTCAAAAGCCTCAAATTCTTCAGGAGTATCATGATCAACCTACTGCCGGACACTATGGGATACAGAAAACCTATCGCACAGAAGATCGCCCGACGCTACTTTTGGCCCGGGATGTACAAAGGTGTACAGGCTTATATACGGAAGTGTGTAGACTGTCAGCGATGCAAGATGTCCAACCGAAAGTCAGAAGAATTACAGATGACGTGCCCCCACGTGTGTGTTTAATTAAAAGTAAGATCCAGTTTTCGCATGATTCTCGAAGAACCGTCACTCATGCCGCCTCGCTCCCCCCCCCCCCCACGCGATCAAGCCCTGATCCGTCACTTCGGAATCGCCCTCGAACTACGAGACTAGCGCAAAGAACTGCAACTCGATATTCCCCCCGTTCCTCCGCTACGAACTCTCGACTTTCTCTCCACGTCGCGGGGGAGGGTGCGGGAGTGCGAGCTCGGCAAGCGGCGCGTTGGAAGCGTCTCGACATCCCGCGTAACCCCGTTCCTATTTTTCACGGCGAACATCCGTTTTACAACCCAAAAAGCGCATTTTATATCAAAGAATTCTAACGTGCTCCGCTTCGCGTCGCGCGCTTCTCCCATTCGTTCGTGCCACCAAACGGGCCAATCGCGCGGAACGTAAAGTTTTTTCAGCCGGAAGAACCGCTCCAGACTCCGTGTGATGCAACAACGGTTTGAGCACATGATCGTCATGGACCTTTTTGGAACTCTACCAAAGACCCACGAAGGTTGAGAACCACTGCTTTAGAATGCATTTATGTATTATTACTGGCTTTTGAAAGCTTCTGGTGACTTTACAGATTAATAAATACCTTTAAACCTACTAAAGGTTCCTAAATGCCCTTGAAGTGTTGTTGAATAAGTCCTTCGGACTTGCAATATCAAGAACTGTCAAAAGACTGCGAGAAGAGAGGATTTCGGGACACTCTTGGAAACTCTTATTAAATCTACTTATAAAAACTCTTAAAGGCATGGTCTTCAAACAACTCCATAGCGCAATAAAGGTTACTAAAGGTCCTTAAAGCCCGTAGAATATTGTCTGAGCCTCTTAGAAACTTAAATGGAGATTCATGAAGACCCAATAAAGTCCTCTTAATGGTTTTTAAAGGCTCTTAAGCTCGGGCCATAAAAGCCTTCGACAATATGCTCTAACCCCCTTTAAACTGCCGTTATCAACTCTTGAAGGCTGTTGAAGATGGGAAGCTATCAAAAATTTATAAATATTTTGCACACTGCCTCTCAAATTTAAAGACTTACAACATCTCTAAAAGACAAGGTTTTGGTGAAACCTTTGGAGTGACTTCAAGCCCGTTGGAAGCTGTTTATCACAATTGGAGATATTTCAAAAGCCGTAAATGCTCTTCAGAGCTCAAAAGGATGTAACACCAAGGCATTTGTCAAAGACACCTTTAAAAGAGGTTTTTTCAAGACTGTAAATGCGAATTGAAGTCTTTGTTGGGATGCAGATAAGAAATTGCCCCCGTGATTGAACGATTGTAGAAAATTGTGATAAACGGAGATGTTATTGTCACTTACGAAATGAAGTTATCTAAAAATAAATGTTGCCATGGATCGCCACTTTCCAAGCGGATACTGTGCGGAAGAGTTTCAAGAGCTGGTGAACGTCCAAAATAAGAAACAGTGAGTTACCTGATCTAAACGGAAACCTTCGAGACAGTACACTTACACTGAATAGTCGCAAACTAAACAAGTAAGTATACTTTGAACTGTGTACGCGGCCTTTATCTTTAATAGATTGTGTACTAAACCAGTGTCGTAACAAGCAGTGTGGAATTACGATTGGGAAACTTTTGAACTGTTGTTTTGCGGACCCTCTTATGGTACATTCGTTCAATGGGAAAAAAGAATCCGTTGGTCTGCGAGAGGCTAGTTTAAAGAGCGTGTGGCGCCGCACCGCATGGAAGTGGAACAGGGAATTTCCAGCACCTCGCTGTCTTTGCTCTGCACATTCATTCGGTTTTTAATGAACTTCGCGGCTTCTCTTCATGCTAAAATTCCCGGACATATTGCAATCGCTTGCTAAATTAGGCGCGCAAAATTTGACATCAAAATCTCTTCAATCGTACCTTTGCTGCAACTCATTTAATTTTTATTTCCAAATTTAATCGAATTTCAGGTTTGTAATTATGAAAAATATCTCATCGGTCATCCCGCCATATATGTAGGGCAGGTGGGCGGCCAAAACCGCTGGACCCCTCGGGTTCTTTAAATTCTTCCGATCCTCCGGAATTATATTCTTTGGAAGTTTGGAGTTGTTGCAGAGTAGGTACCTATTAAGACTTCTTCGGTTTCGCGGATTCCTTCAGGTTCAAAGATTGTCCAAATTTTTCGGATATTTCGAATTCCAACGGATTTTTCGGACCCTTTGAAGTCTTTGAATTGATCGGAGTCCTCGGATGATTTCAGGTTTTTTAGCATCTTAAAGTTCTTTGGGTTCCTCGGATCTTTCCGGGTATCGTCAAGCTTTCAAATCTTTTAGATTCCTAAGACTCGTCAGATTTTTTAAGTCTTTGGGACCCCATCTTCCATGAAAGTACAAATCCTTGCTACTCTTGA